AAATCGGTGGATCCATGGGGGGGGGTACCATATATATATATATATATAGGGGTTATATTGGGATAATGGAAAAGAAAATGGAAACTACTCTAGTGGGGTTATATTGGGTTTAGGGTTGTTCTTAGGAATTTAGTTTAACTTACTATATTATCCCCCCATTGTAGGGTTTAGGGTTTAGGTCCCCTATAACGGAGAATTAAATGGAAAAGAACATGGAAATTGAGATGGGAACTGGGGCAATATGAGGGTTTAAGGAACTTACTTTAAGTTGGTATATTGGGGAAACCATATTATTGCTATATTACCATATATACACATTACGGTAACTTAATTTGAGTTCCTTAACAACAACCCAGGAAGGAGGTCCCGGTGCCCTGGGCACAGGTCCATGCACCGGTGCCTTGTGCAGTGATCCCGGGGGTCCTCACGAGCGAGGAGGTACAAGCACTGAAATGCTGGGGCATGTTGCTCGGCTTCCTACGCTAGGACCTTTCTTTTCATTGCGAGCTTTGCATGGCTAATTGTGAGAATTGAAGAGTCCAACGAGCATGACTTTGCCAGCATCAGGTCCCGGAGGGACTGGGTTTCAGCAAACGGGCATTTAATCTGTCAGTTTGTTGATGCGATCCTTGCCGACAAGCTTTGGGTCCGCGTGTGCCATCTGGTTCCGGATTTCAAAGGCTCCGGTGCAGTTGGCTTGAATCAGCATATGCGCTTCCTGAAGTATGGAAATGGGCACTATTTCGCACCACACCAAGACGGCGAGAACAGACATGCTGGCGCAAGATCTTGTCTTTCAGCGCTCCTATACCTCTCCGGTGTTGAAGGCAAAGACTGCGGAGGTGGAACTCGGTTCGTGTCGCCGGATTGTCCACAAGTAGCTGGCACGGGGCGCTGCGACCGTGCTTGCGAGCACTGCCTGGATGCTCCCGCCACAGCAGGATGCTTGCTCATGTTCGCCCAAAGCTTGATGCACGCTGGCACTGAGCCCATCGCCTCCGAAAAGTTTGTGGCCTGGCAGACGAGAAAGACTTTTTTTGGTGCTTGTGGTGTTAGATCAGACTGACGCATCACGTGCTCTGCACTGCACAAAATTCACCACAACCAGCTGTTTTGCGGGTCTGATGGCAGAGCGCAGTGAATGTGTGCTAGTGAACAGAGCTGCGTGAACGGTTCCATAAGGTTATCCGCACCGATGTCATGTACCCCTTGGCGCAGACTTAATCGTGTGAAGCTTCTGGACCCAATGACCTGAATGCTGGCGGAAGCCTTGTCTCAAACGAAGCGAGATGCATTGAGATTCTGACTCTGCCTGCGGCTGCACGGCAGCAAGCTCATGAAGGAAGCTGCAGCTTGCTCCACAACTGCACGTCAAGGTGGCTATTCAGATCTTCATGACATTTTGCCTGAGGGCACTGTCATGGGAGATGCCCCAAAGGGAGCTTCCAGTTGTGGTGGTAGAGGAAGGCGCTGCAAATGCAAGGCGTGCTCCCAGGCCTGACGGGTCCTGAACAGGACCAGAGATTTTAGCCTTGTACCTGCTCGGGCTCGCCCACAATCCCCGACGTGGGCTTAGGTCTCGACTATTCCTTCACAGCTTGCATTTTTCAAGGCTCGACACGGAGCACCGTCAGAGTCTTCCGGCATTTGCTCAACCTTGAAAAGTCGAAGCCCGCAGCACTCCGTGTGGGGTATAGGGTTCCAAACGGAAGTTGCTGAAGTGATTGCTGATGTCGAAGGCGGCTGGACCTATTGACTGATTGGCGATATGATCCATTCCAGGTGCTTGCTGCGTCCCACTTGGCCCCAGCCTGACGTTCCGACATGAGCACAAGATGTCTCTGTCAATGCAACACTCCAGTGCAAAGCCATCATTTTTTGGGCAGTCGCATCATGCAGTAAGGAGCCTTTCTTGTTCGAGTCCGCTCTTCAAGCAAACAGAATACTTGAAGCTGGCATTTTAAAGATGACTGATTCACATGCAACAGAGCAGTGCGTTCTGCAGTTGCCAACTTGTTCTGCATGAAGCTATGCCAGATGCTGCTGCGGAAGAAGCAGCATCTCAATCGCAAGTGCAAGAGGTGTGAGGTGTGATTGTATCCGGAAGTTTTTCGGATCTTGGAGTTTGGAGCTTTACAAGGCTTCGCACATTTGTGGGCACGTATTGCGGACAGGATGTTGTCTCACATGGTGCAGTTCAGGACAGCGATGCTCTTGAGGAGGAACTGCAACAGGAATTGCAGGCCGTGCCAGACTGCAGCCTGACTCAGCTCCCCAGATGAGCTTTAGTCCAAACTCCTTAGAGGGGACTATATATATATATATATAGAGATACAGATATAATATGTATATATATATATAGATATGAATTATATAGGTGAGTAGTATAGGGGTTATTCAGGGGGATGCTGGGAGTTAAGACTCGAGAGCAAAATGCCCATGAAGGTGGCTCCCTCCTTTCCCATGAAAGAAGAGCCCGCGGAAACCATATTGGGGTAATATTGGGATCATGGAAAAGAAAATGGAAACTACTGTAGTATATTGGTGTAGTATTGGGATGAGGGAAAAATGGAAACTACGATTCAGGACAGGGCCTTCTTGAAAAAGGGGAGCCATGCGACTTTAGCTGAACGATGCAACATATTCGAAGCAGCGTGAGAAGGAGAATGCTACACCCAAATCTGACATGAGCTATAGTCAACACTCCGTAAAAGGGGGCTATGTAGGGGACTTTTGGGGGAGTGTTATAGGGGTGTAATTAATGCGGATACTACACTCCCCCAAACTAACATGGAAACCCATATAGCCCCCTTTTAGAAGGACTGTAGTCTTTATAGGGCCTTTTTTGGGTTTCCGGGAGTGTAGGAGAGTTTAGACTAGAGCCCTAAACCCAATATAACACCATTATAATAGTTTCCAATTTTATTTTCCATTATCCCAAAATAACCCCAATAAAACCTTAATATAATTGACAACACGCATCCTGCAGGACTTGGAGGCCGAAGTTGAGATGCTACAGAACCGGTTAGACAAGCTCCAGCAGCCTTGAACTAAGATTTTGGCCGGTGTGAGGATTGAGCATCTCCCGGAAGAATATGAGATATAGTCTAAAGTACTAGTATCCCCCTTTAGAAAAATTTTCATGCTCACCTATAGGGTGTAGTATATAGCCCCTTTTAGGAGTTTAGACTCTAGCTCAAATCAGGCTTTAAGAAGCATACAGTAAAGATACTACTGTTACGAGGTCGTCCTACAGAGGACCATGAGCAGTAGGAATCGGGGCCCAGCTTGCCCAAGGCCTTCATTCGAAGCGCTTCCCATGGAGCAGCTCTGCTTGCACTTGCCCGCGAAGGAGTTCGCGACGCTGTCCTCTACAGGCTTGGCCGCAAGCAACCAAAATGATAGCATCAAATGGGAGGCATATCATTCTCATCAGGCTAGCAAGAAGAAGATGACCGTTGAAAACCATTGTCTGTCTACCCTAGGGCAAGTCTCTTATCCAAGCTGACAGGACAGGAGCTGCAGCGTGTGCTACAGCAGTTGCTGGGCTGCAGGGCCGAGCTTGTGAGATTTTACGAGAAAGCTGGCAGATTGTCCTGATCCGAAGGCTCCTCCCAAGGCTTTTAAAAGGCTTGGCGGTGCTGCAGGCGAAGGTGCGGGAACTAAAACCAGGTTCATATGGGATGGCATCAGCACCCTGCAGGCTGGCCGCTTGCTGCCCCTGGGTTTGACGCCTTTGGTGCTGTGGCAGGCAGTGAGAAGCATGATTTGTTGTTGGCTGGCGGAATATCTTTGATGTGGACGCAAAGAGACGTTGCGTTCGGGCTGTGCAGACCCTTCGAGAGCCGGTGGTCTCTGTTGACACAGCCTGCCCTGCCTTGGGGCGCGGCCTCATTGCAGCAGGGCTGCACAGAGGGATACACCGAGCCCAGTTCAACAGACTATGGAGACTAACAGAAGCTTACAGACGTGCCACCATCCAGGTAAAAGATAGGAAGCAGATGCTGTGGAAAAGGGAGCTGATATTTGATACTTAACTTGTCGTGCTGGACTGCGCGAGATGGGCAGTCAGGCATTGAGACAAAGTTTATGTCTGTGCCACGGTGGGTTCCTTGCACCCTTAGCCGAGGTCCTTAACTTATACCCGCTGCGACTACGGAGCATCAACGTGCTACGCTCACGGAGCATGCATTATAGCAGCATCCTGCAGCCCCATGAGCTTGCATGGAAGATGGGTGGTCAGCTGACACCCCGCGTCCTCCGTGGCAAGCTCTCGTGCACGATTGCACCCATCCGAGGACGGAAGATGGCCTTGACTGAGTTTGTGTTAGGGTATGGCCGGATGGTTTGCGCCGGGGTAGGTTGGGCTTTGGCCGGCCCCGAACCCTAAGCTAAGGATGACAGCACTTCGCAGTCCCTTTATATGTCCGCCGCCCCTGCCAGGTCGTCTTGTTTTCTCAGGTACCTTGATGATCGAGTGGTGGATACGAATATGCTTTAGACTTGCTGTTCTGCGTTCTTCTCCTGTGTGTTTGCTCGCGCCGATATGTGGTCCACAACTTCAAGTCTACTGCCGCAGCGGAGCCAGTTCAGGCCAGTGATTCTACCCTGTGCTGAAGAGGCGCGGTGGAAAAAATACCCCGCTGCCATTTCTTACAAAGCTGCAAGCATTGCCCGCGCCTTGTGCTGATCTACCTGTTGGACCCCTGCATTCCAACTCATCAATGGAAAGATGCGCCGTGGATACCACATTTGCTACAAAAGAAGAGAAGGAGCGGTCAAAGTTGGCGGCGCCGTGAACAGGCCTTGCTGGGGCCTTGACTAAGGATAGTGCCATGTTGAGTGCTCTCAGTACTTCGGGTTTCAACCCTTGAGGCCATTGTTTTTGGATGAGCAGCCTCTACGTTGGCTCGACACTTGAGGGGATGGCGCGTCTGGATTTCCTTTTGCGCCAATGTAGGCTGCCGCCCTGGATCACCTTCGCTGGAACAGTTGCGGGATTTCCTGGCCAGCTTAGCAGAGGGTGCTGTTTTGGATCGGGGTCGCAGCCGGAAGAGGTCTGCGTTGAGCGTGCTTTCGGGCTTGACCTTTGCAGCATTCAAATTTCAGTTATCGGAGCTCGAGAAGTTGCCTAGAAATGTCCTCTTGTGCTTGCCTGGCGGGACGCCGGGAAGTGGCAGCGCGATTCGGCAAAAGAGGCGCTTCCCTTACCCCGTGTGGTTGTGCGATGGTCAGCCCCTAGCGTTGGAGCTGTGGGAAGCCCGCTTTAAGCTCACGGCGATGTGGATGTGGTGCTGCCGGCCTTGTTTGAGCACGGCGTGCCCATCGGCGTAGTTACCAGAGACCATTCCCCCTTTAGGTGTCTGGAAGAAGCTGGATGTAACGAGCGTCCCGAGCTTGACTTGCAAGTGGCAAGCTAGGCGTTGTCAAGAAGGAAGGTGCTGCTTCCCGGTTCATTGGCGACAGCGCCATATCCAACGCAAATCAGTCGTGTCGCATTTCTGAAAAAGTGGAGCTCCCGTCCCTGGGTGACGTCGCGCAGTTCTTGTCCCGCCACCAGGGGCAGGATTGGGTGGCTTTCCTTCTTGATGTGAAGGCTGCACGTAGGCGGGTTAAGGTGGCAGAGCGTGGGTTTTCCATCTTCGCCTTGGTAGATCCCAGTGGCGCACGGCGGTGGGTCGTCTTTAACACATGCCAATTTGGGTGCAGTTGGGCCGCTTATTGGTGGATCAGGGTTGTTGCAGGTTTTGTCAGGCTAAGCCGTCGTTTGATCTACCGCACCCACTTTGGGTCCATGTTCGTTGATGACAAGCTCTCTCTTTTTCCTGCAGATGAGGCGGCGATCGTGGCATGCTTACAAGTAGTGCTGGCTTGCGCCTTAGGCGCACCGCTGTCCTGGCGCAAGATGTTATTGGTACGTTTGTAATGGATTGGTTGGCAGCTGGACTTGCGTAGAGTGCCGCGTGCTTTTCTGCCCGGAGACAAAGTGATAGTTACCTGTTCTGCGCTCAGGAGTGTGTGCCGCGGAACTCCATTAACAGATGGGAGCTGGAGTCACCCGTAGGCCGGTTGCTTTGGTTCACCGGCGGCATGAGGTGGCTTCGGCCCTGGATGTTTATATACCTGGTTTCGCGTGGCATCTAATCCCACTCTGCGCTTCCTGCGTCTGGATCTGGATTAGGGTCAAGTGGATGAACTGCTGGCTCTACTAGGAGAGGATCTACGCGTGTGCCAGCATGCTAGATTCTCTGATGCGCGACGTGGGTGGCAAGTGCTTGAGTGTGGTGGACGCGCTGTGCATTGACGAGATGAAATTATGTCCCCTTCGCGGAAGAATGGGCGTGCGTGGTTCAAGTTGGGCGAGCCCCACGCTTCGCATACCAAGCCATTTTCAGAGGAACAGCGTGTTGCTGGTTTCTTCCTGCGCTTCATTGAATCTTCTAGACCCTTGCGTCTGGTTGAGCTAGACGGGAAGCCGCGGCTGGCGGCGGCGGATGCGTTTGCTGCAGGAAATGCGGCAGGCATCGGTGGTTGGTGGCTGCCCAAGGAGTGCCCTGCCCGCGTGGTTTAAGGCAGACGCTTCACTTGACCGACCAGTCGGCCTACAAGTCCTTATCTGTGCCTTGGAAGCCCTCGATCAGCTGGTGTTCCTGGATTTGCAGCCCCCTGATGACCCAACTTCTAACATTGGTTGCGTTGTTGCGCGGCAGTTCTGCGATAACGTAACATGTCTTCTTTTTCATGTATGTTTGTGTGGCTAGGTAAACTGGTGCGTGCACGCATGTCTTTACTGCGTTTGCCTAGTGCTGCTTTTGAGGCTCAACGCTTGTAGCTTCAGAAAATTTTTCACGCCTTGACATGCAACAAGCAAGCCCTCACTTCCTGCTAGACCTTGCAGTTTCAGCTCAGCCACAAGCGCTCGCTCTCTAGCATCACAGCCAATTTTGGCCCATGGATCCGGACTTGGATGCTCTGCGTGCGCAGCTTGCACGATTGGCAACGCACGCACACGCGTGGCCCTTCGAGTCTAGCAGCTCAGACAGTCAGGACAGCGCAATGTCTGTAGGAACGGACAGCGCTACGCTCCCTCAGCTTGCTCTGCCTTTGCACTCTCGCAGGCTTCTTGTTGCGCGCCGCTTGCACCTCTGGTTTTTTTCACCGCGAGTGCTGCTACATCTTGCGTGCCAGCCTGCCTGCGCTGCTTGGCTCGCCACGCTCAGCTAGTGCAGCTAGTGCGGTCTTGTGTCACTTGTCTTGGCATGATTGGAACCGCTTGCGTAGCACTTGCTCTGAAAATCACCGCTGCGTGCGCTCCATATGGCGCGTGACGCGTCAAGAGGAGGCCGCATTAGCTCAGTATGGCGAGTCCCGCGTGCTCGTTCAAAGCCTTCGTGCCTTGAGGACCTCCTTTTGCAGCTTTTGCTTGTTAAGCTTGCTTTCTTATGTTTGTGCTGCGCTTGCTGTTCAGGACACTGCCCGCACGCAGTGGACAGCAAGCACCCGCCGCAAGCAGGTCTTCATAAGTTGTTCCAGGCCGCACGCCTGCAACGCCGCCGGCAGCTCAGTCAGCTCCGACGCTGGCTGGACGGATGAGGCGGGCGCTCTGCCTTCTTTCTTTCAGTCGCCTGCCCGCTTGGCAGGCCGCAGCCGCAAGCCCAGCGCGCCAGCAGGCCGCGCCGAACGCACCGCTTATGCCCTCTTATAGCGTCCTTGGCCGCAGGTCCTGGGAGCACGCTGCGCAGGCACCGCATTTGTCATGCAGGCAGCTGTGTCGCTTGTGTGCCCGCCCGGCATGACTTGACTCGCTCCAGGTCAGTAAAGAACATGCCTAGTTCTTCTCACGCCCGCGAGCAGACCAACATTCACGCCCGTCTCGAGCTCAGCTTTTTGCGCTGCCCGCCTGGCATGCCCGCTGGCACAGCTGCTTGCAACTGCTCATGTTCCTGTCGCATCTCCGCCAAGCCACAGGTAGAAGCAGCCCCCCTGCCGCCTTTTGCCCGACTTTAATAGTTGCACTTTCCTTGATCCCAGCTACATAGCTTCAGGGTTTACTTGGGTTCCGGGGAGGGGGGGGAATGGTCTCCTGCCCAGGGTGCCCCTGCACTTTAACAGCTAAGCAATCTAGATAACATCCTGCCACCGCAGTCGCAGGCATGCTCATGCACTGACATCTGGGACAAGCTCGATACGCACGACCCGCAAGCACCTACTACCCCGACAAGCTCCGGCGGTGGCTGGCGCAACAAGCACGACAAGCACGCGTGGGACAATTGGAACTGGGGCAATTGGTGGTCGTCGTGGAGAGCGATCACGGCTCGCACGATTGGCAGCAAAATTCGTCTGACAGGCCCGGCGCGCACGCGAGCACTACCCCGTCTGCAGGCACTTCCATGGAGCCCAGCAAGCACATCGGCTCCGAAGTCCGTTGGGCCAACGGCAGGCCCGTTTACAAGCGCCACAAGGGCTTCATTGCATGCACGGTGGCTTGCGCGCAAACGCATTGCCCGCACGGGCGGCCTCCCTGTAATTACAAGGTCTCGCCTGGAGACACGCATGCGCCTCACAAGTGCTCCCTCTGCAAAAAAAGGCAGAGAAGGAGGAGCGCGCGCAGAACGCCTAGCAGGTCAAGCACGCGTGCGCCGCACGACAGAAAAAAGGGGTGGACGTTTTTTCTTTTTGCATTTCACCGTGCCCTGCCTCCTTAGCCTTGATTCCTCTATTTTTGCAAGCGCAGCCCTTCAGGTCTACATTCACATACGCCCGGCGCCGCCGTGGCCCTGGCTGCAGCCGCCTGCTGCTCGGGACTTGCGCCCCCACGCTTCGGACCGCAGGTTCCTTGACTCCCCCGCTGGGCCCTCCAGCACACATGCGAGCCGCAAGCTCAGCCAAGCACGCCTCGCATTTGCTAAGTTCCTCTTGCCAACATGCTTGCAACCCTGTCAGGTCGCGCTCATCCTGCTGCTCCAGGCCCTGCGCTCAGTTTTTGGCTCGGTTTGCATTGCTCGCAGTCATTGCTGGAATCCTTTGCTTGCACTGGTTAATCTCGCGCCTTTGCACTCAGGCCCCCCCTTTTTTCCGTGGTAGGTTTTTTGAGGGGACTGCAATGGAGGACACCGAAGCTTCAGAACCAGGCACACTTCGTAGCTAAACGGTTGAGACGGGGCTCTTTGGCCCCCCTCCCCATACTGGACCCCCAAGACAGTAGCTCCTCGCTCACAGGGGAGCAGCAACCCTAGCTGGATGCACCCCAGCTTGTGCCAGCCAGGCTTGGCCCTGGTCAGGTTTTGCCAACATCATGCAAAGCCATGCCTTCCAGCACGCTAGCACGCACCAAGCTCTCCTCTGCTCCCCCCTTGCCGGCTCCTGTGTTTGCACCAGCCAGACCCTCTCTGCGCTGGGGCTCCCAAAGCGAGCCATACGCTGCACTTCGCCCACGCTTGTCCTCGCAGCCTTTCTAGACACTGCGTAACACGCGCGGCAGCCTTGCCGGCCTGGGTTCCAGGCGCCGCTGCATCCAGGCGCCGCTGCAAGCACATCCGTGCCTTCTCAGGGAGACGTTGCGTCCCAGCCAAAGGCCCTGCCTGCCCCGCCTAAGGCTCGCAAGCTCAGGCCCACCACCACAAAGATGCTGATGGAGTCTAAACGCGAGGAGCTCAGACAGCTTTTCTTCTTCATCCTGCATCGGATTGAGCATGATTGCAGCTTGCACGCTCAGTTGGCCTCCTCTCAGCATTTTTCTCAGCACCTTGCACGCCTCCTTGCACCTTTCAGTGTTGGAACACTCAAGCAGTACCTCAATGCATGCCTTAACTTCACTCACTTTTGGGCGCTGCTTGCATGCTGGTGCACGCGGGCGATGCCTGCTGGCACCAGCAACAGAATTTACTCCAGCAACCCTTGTGACAAAAAAGGAAGGGCTCGCCTTTGCACGCTTTCTTTTTTGGCTGCACTGCACTGGGCAAACTACACACATGAACATGGGGGTAGTAGGCGCCTCAGCGCAAGGTTTCTCCACCAAGGAGCCATTGGCCTCCATTTTACAGGCTTGGGCTTTCTTCTGCTTGGATCACTGCATAAATTTCTGTGTGTCTCACATCGCCGGCGGCGGCTCGGGGCCCTGACTACAGCCCTGGCGTCTGGGAGCAGCTGACGGCGAGTCAGCGGTTCTGGCCAGACTTGCAAAGACTTATGGCCTCCGGGCGACCAGATGCGACCAAGACAGGCGACTAGTGAGTAGAGTGGGGTGTCATGGGTGTGAGCGGCTGTGCAGGCCCAAATGCGTGTGCGTGTGGGTGCGTTGACACATCTTGCCTGTGTTCCAATACCGAGCCTGTCGTCCGGGCTAAAAGTTGGCGAATGGATGTATTTAGCTTCCGACAGCTGTTTGGCTGCGGCTGTGCTTCGGGCTTAAGGGCCAGACGGCCAAATTCTGACTTGCTTGGACATTGGCAGCCAAACACCTTCCTTGTGCGTCTCTGTGCATGTGGTGTAGATCCTGTAGATTTAGGGGTTGCGTGGTTTGCGCTGGGGTAGGTTGGGCTTTGGCGGGCGCGCACCCCGAACGCTAAGCTTAGGATTCCAACACGTCGCAGTCCCCTTATATGAACACCACTGCCAGGTCGTCTTGTTTTCTCAGGTACCTCGATGATCGAGTGGTGGATACGAATATTCTTTAAACCCACCTGCCCGCCCCCTGTGATGCACAGGACAGGACGAGTTGGGAAGGTGCGCAGGGATTGACTTCCTGCCGTACAATGGTATGCCCAAGGGCATGGGGGGCCAGACGGCCAAACCTTGACTTGCTTGGACATTTGCAGCCAAACGCCTTCCTTGTGTGTCTCTATGCATGTGGTGTAGACCCAGTAGCTTTAGGGTTATGCAAGATTCATAGCCTTAAACCCTAAACCCTAGACCTTCAGGAGCTGCAGACTCCGAAATCTCCATCATCCTTTTGGATTCCGCGGTGCCTAAGCAGCCCCTGATCACCTTGACTTGGGACTTGCATCCTCGCAGCCGCGGTTGCTACTACAACATTCGAGCTTCCATTCGCGAGGCCAGGCCTTGTAGTAAAATTCAGTATAACCGAATTGTATGCTGCCTATATTATACTACAATTGCTTATAGTATGATCTAGTATATTATAGTATCAGATAGTATAATATAGTATAAAACAGGATTATATATGATACTATACGATAGTATAGTATATTATAGTATTTCTAAATAAAGCTTTGCCTTCTAAGTCTGAGGTGGTGTCTTCAAGGTCCTCGTGGGCATACCGTCAACACACTTGGAGCTTGGGTGATGGCACCTTGCGTGCCCGGGGATCGGAGAACGATACCCGGGAGTACGTTTTGACGTGCCATCTAGAGCCACTTGACTCAAAATCCCATTATCGCGTTTTCCATTTTCCTTTGCACTATCCAAAACCTAAATAGAAGTTTCCATTTTCTTGTCCATTATCCTTATGTCAAACCATAGCAGGCTTCAGGCCTCAGGTAGCCACCATCCCGCGATGTCAAAGTCCGGATTTTGCATTGCAGTCAAGGATTGAGTGGGCGGCGGCGCGCTGCTGGATTCTAGTGCAGGATCGCTACAAGGACGCATGCAGAACTTAAATTGCAGGTGCCGGCACTGAGCTAGCAAAACCATGCAGCAAAGCCAACGCGAAAGCGCAATTTCGCATGTGTTTGCTTTCCATTCTTCTTTCCATTGATGCTGCAGTATGTTGGAATCTCCGGCCTGCTTCGATAGAGGAGCTGTGCCTGGAATCAAACTGCGGTGGATCATCGCCGACGGCTGATGAGCTGCGAAGCATGGTAGGCAAAGGATTTTAGTAGTGAAGTAGTGGCCCCCTTCTAAGTATTGATGCTGAGACACTTTGGAAAAACTTGGTGCTGACCTGCTGGGCTAAACATTAAGGATTGCAGCTGTCGCCTGGCACCACTGCAAGCCTGTCGGAGCTACTCCTGGGCTAGATGTGGTCGACTGCTTAGACGCTCACCGCATCGTATCAGCAAAGGATTAACCTAACACCAGCTGCAAAGTGTCCAAGATTGGATTCTCATTCACATTAGATTTGATTTTTTGGATGATGCAATCCGGAGGGTGGGGAGTTGCCGGCCGAGGTGCCTTTGAAGACGGGATGCTTGCGAGTAGTTTTGTGGGCGGTCCCCTCGGCTAGTGTTTTCTGCCTAAGGCAGGCAAACTTTCTCTGCACTACTGGGCCCTGTTGTGTACATACCATCTGGCCGCGCTTCCATTAGAGCAAGGCCAGGGACAGGTCACTGGTAGCCGATGAAGCCAGTTTTGGCTTGCAATTTGAAGCGAATTATCATGCATGCGTTGGAGTCTAGACAGGAGACTCTCGAACTAGCACTAGCACTAGCAGCAGTTTGGCAACGACTTGTGCGCCTGCTTCCGCTCAGCACGTGGAAAAGGAAGAGCTTGTGTTGCTCCGTGCCTTATGCCTACGAGTACTGTTTTAAGCAGGGAGTGTTTCTTCCTCACTGCCATGCCGTATAGACGTGCAAGAGTGGTGACATCCGCAGCTTGGCCTGCTGAACGAGGCAGGTTGCTTGAGCATATTGAAACCCATGCAATCGCTACTCGTAGCAAGCTTGAACCAATCCTCAGGTGAACAACCATTCAGTACTAAGCCACTTCACACCTGTATCTATCGCAGCAAACAAAACCTTGCTCTACAACAGATCTGACACTCTATGTAAGTGGTTGCACATGCTGATATGCAATGGAGCTGATCGTCAAGGAAGCTCGAAAAGTATGGATCCCAAATCATCCAACGCATGGATACAGGCTGGTCAGTCGTACATTTTGCCGATGAGCCATCATCTCGTGAGCTGTGCCAGGCCTGGGCAAGTGGATGATAATGCGGACGAGGGTGATCACTTGCTGGTCATTGACATTGAAGGGAAGAAGTTTCAGGCATTCCATGCAGCCCAACACCCTGTTATACTATATATATATATATAATATTGGGATAATGGAGAAGAAAATGGAAACTACTATAATGGGTTATATAGGGTGTATATTGGGTTTATATTGGGGTATATTGGGATAATGGAAACTACTGGGCGCAATTCAGGTGCCCAAAGCGGAGGCGCTGGCAGTAGACCCAGCATGCTTGACTGGCGTGGACGACCTTCTCACTCTCGGTGACTTCAACGAACCTGCCCTGAGCTAAGAGCCAGGAGGCAGCCATGGGGCTGTGCACTCAGCTTCAGTATGACCTGTAGGCCTTGCTTCATAACATCCGAGTCCGGTACGAAGAGGATGCGAGCTTCAAGTAGCTGCAGACATGAGAGGTGCTTGGCAAATTTGTCAGACGCCCTGTAGGACAAGATATACACTGGCATTGGCACTCCGATCCTGATCTCAGTGAATCCCTATCAGAACATCGAGGGCCTATACAGTGTGGAGCGAATGCGGGAATACAAGCGCTTTGCAGCCAAAGCTCCGAGCCAGGCACCTCGAGGGAGGAGTACGACCGAACTCATGCTAGTCACTCCCTGGGCTTTGCTTGAAGGTTAACAGAGCTGTTGCCAAGGGACATCAACTTCTGTTAGGTACCAGCAGCATTCCTTTGCAGTCTTCATGGGCAGCATCCTGTCCAAACATGTTGCCAGGCAGGAGGCGGCTTACCCATTCACCTCTATTCTGTCGCGGATGCTGCATATCGTGCAACTCGTCAGAGCAGTCCGCCTTTTTGAAGAGAGCGTTGGTCAACACTTACTGAAGCTTGCTGTAATGGGAAACTGATTGAGTTAGACTTTCCAGCCACTAGGATTTGGTACTGAACAGCAGGATTGTTGACTGCGGCACCAGTGTTCTCCGCGCGGGCCATTTAAAAAGCCATAGCAGCGCACAATTCAAAGGCGATGCTGCAAGAGAAGGCGAGCCAGTCCATTATCATCTCAGGCCAGTTTCGAGATCCATCCTGCCGCACTCTTCGTTAAGTGTGTCACTTGTGCACTGCTACACCGAACAGCAGCATCAGTTCAGCCTTCAATGAATCTGCAGTGGGAAGCGCAGCCAGGCGAAAGTGGAGCTGGCAAGACGGAGGCCACCAAGCGCATGCTGGCCTACCTCGCTGAACTGCAGTCCTCGAAGCCCCACGACTTAGGCCGCGCGAAAAGTTTGGCAGTCTTAAAAGCTGGAGCTGGTAGCTGCATGCCTTGGATGCAAAAGTAGCAAAAGGGTTGCCAAGGACTTGGTAGGGAGCTGTCCTTTTGGTGGCTTCAGCGGCCCCGAAAACACTTATGCGGCCGTGCTGAGGGTGAGCTTGTCAGTATGGCCTGTCGGGTTGTACGCGGTCACGTCTGTCGTGGACTTTGGGCTGTGGCATGCTTGGTTGAAGTAAACGTTGTTGAGGAAGATACAAAAAGCTCTGTTTCTCACCCACGCTCTGCAAAAGAGAGTTTGAGTCTTTTCTTACCTTTTCTTGATGCTTGTGCTGCACTCGAGTTCTGCAATGCGCAGGAATCAAACGCTTCGTTGCCAGGACAGCGAACACGCTCGGTTGAGTCGCAGGTTCTGGATGCCAACCCCGTTCTTGAAGCCTTCGGCAACGCAAAAACTGTTGCAAGCCTAGCTAGGCATTTTGTTCCATGAAGCAATGAAAATGTACTGCAAGGACTCAAAGCACGGTCAATCACTATCACCTGCATCTGAGGTGAGGAACGACAACTCATCCAGATTTGGCAAGTTCATTGAAGTGGAGTTTGATGCCAATGGGAAGTTGCTCAGCGCACAGACTCTTGACTTAAATCGTGCTGCTGGCGCTGCAGCTTGATCTGCGCGTGTCTGCGAGCCATCTCGTTTAAAGGTCAGGTTTGCCACGCTCTCAGGATTTCCAACTACCTGTTGGAGAAATGCCGCATTGTGACGCAACAGCCCGAGGATGATGCGTGTTTCGATAAAAGGTCTCCAATAGACGAACCCCCCAAATGATAGATTCATCACATCAGTTACAGAAGGTAAGATGCCCTGCTGGGTTGTTGTCCTTTGTGCTCGCTCCATGGGCACTTTCCTGGGTTGGAGATGTTAGTGCGGTCTCCCAATGAATTGCCGGGAGACAAGCAGGAGCGCAATTATCACATCTTCTATCAGCTGTGCGCTGCCGCCAAGAAGGCGTGGACGTCGGAGACCTAAGAGAGATGCCTATAACTTAATTAGATAGAATATGGGGGTATGTGGGGATTTTGCTGTAATTTGGGAGTGTGGGGTGCACGGGAATCTTATTCTAATTTGGGAATATGAGATATAAACCCTAAACCCTAAACTCAGTTGTCTCTCCTTGCTCGCACACTGACTACTGACGAGGGTTGGGGCTTAAGTCAGTGCGGCTGATAGCCCTATTGCCTGACAGGGTGCTGATCTTCCCGCGGGGCTACAGCTCCATGCAGCCGAAGACTTTGAGTACAGCAAGGTTTGTCCCACCATTTCGGGTGTGGACGACGTTGCGGAGTTTGCCGCAGTCCTGGAGTGCATGGTCAGCCTGGGTTTCTCCCAAGAGGAGCGCGACACAATATTTCGGGTCATCGCCGCAGTGCTTCATCTCGGCGAAGCCCAATTTACGCCTTGTCCCAGAGAAGGACAGGATGGCATCTCTGTGGCCAACGACACCTGCCTGCATGGTATCCAGAAGTTTTCCGTGAACCTTGCCCAACCTTCTGCAACCCGAGAATGAATTCAGTTGTGGGAGCAGATTGAATTGTCCCCATCATATGCCATCCGTGTCGTTGACCCCTGTTGAAAGGACAGCTCGGTATCCCTCTCGTGTGAGTTGCTGGGCCTTCCTCTGGAGCAAATGCAGGATGTCCTCGAGCACAAGACGCTGGAGGACACTTGCTGTTTGCCAGGATGCCCGAATGCACGTGTAGCAGAGCAATGTTGCGACTCACATAGGACCCGCTGACGAGGAAGATCATCCACATGCCGCATCTTGTTGAAGCATCTTCATGTGGATGCTAAGGAAGCCACGGGTTGAACGGTCCTTTTATGCTATTCTGAGACTGCCCAGGCAAGATGCGGCATCTGCATCGTTTACTCGCCACTCCATGGCCAAAGTCATCTATGCTCGTCTGTTTGACTGGCTAGTCTGGCGCATCAATGAAAGCATTTGCAACAAAGGGTTGCAGAAGGATGTCCGAAAAATCGGCTTGCTGGATATCTATGGTTTCGAAGTCTTTGAGTGGTATCTTAGCTGCAAGCAGGCATGCTTGTGGATGCTGCAGCTTGTAATGTTTGAAAACACGTGTGACAGATGATTTGTCGCCAAGGAACTCGTTTGAGCAGCTTTGCATAAACTTCGCCAATGAGAAGCTTCAGCAGCATTTCAATATGCACATGTTCACTCTTGAGCAGCGGCTCTACACATCAGAAGGTATTACATGGGATCATATACAGTACCAGAACAACCAGCACATCATCGACACTTTGGAACGCAAACCGCTTGGATTGTTTTGCTTGATCGATTCCGAGTGCTTGATGCGGTCCGCCACCGATGCGACTCTTCTTTCCAAGATTCAGAACTCGTACAAGAACTCCAATGTCATCTCTAAGGCCTCCAGATTTGCAACAACAGAGTTCAAGGTGTCGCACTATGCCGGCGATGTGGTTTACAGTGTGGATACTTTCCTTGAGAAAAACACGGATAAACTCCATGCCGATGTGGTCGCCTTGTTTAAGGAGTCCAAGCTTGAGTTGGTGAAGAAGCTGTTCACTGACCCTCGCTTCTCGCCCGAGGCCAAGCCTGCTGGTGGGCCGCGCCCGCTGCGGCGCCAGACCACGCGCAACATGGATGACCAGCGGCGAGAGCGGCAGAACGTGACGGTCAGCATGATGTTTCGAGAGCAGCTGGATCGACTGGTGGAGGATTTGAACAAGACGAATCCGCGATACGTTAGATGCATCAAGCCGAATGCGCTGAAGCAGCCAAACGAGCTGGATTCTCTGGACGTCCTACGGCAGCTGAGATGTGCAGGCATGCTTGAGGCCATTCGCATTCGAAGAGCAGGCTATGCGGTTCGCAGACCTTTTAAAGAGTTCTTCTCAAGATTCCGCGTCCTTGCCCCGCACTTGGTGGCCGCGGGGTCAGATCCTGACTACAGGAGCCTCTGCCAACGACTGGTGACTGAGGTTGAGGAACGAGTCTGCAAACAGGGTGTGGCCTTGGAGGAGAAGTCATGGCAGATGGGTCAAACACGCGTCTTCATGAAGGAGGAACTGGAAAGACGCATGGAGCAAATGATTGTTGAGTCTGCCAAGCGGCAGGTGCAAACAATTCAGCGATGCTGGCGGGGCTTTGCCCAAAGACGGAAGTTCCAGCAGCTCCGCAATGCGGCCCTTCAATTCCAGGCGGCTGCTCGCATGGCTCTACGTGCCCGGAGCTTCCAAAGCCTACGTTCTGCAGCGCTGGAAGTCCAAGCTTCGCTGAAGGCGAGTTTGGCATCAGCTCATCTCCAGAGGCAAAAGATAGCGGCTACCGAGATCCAGGCAGCTTTGCGCACGTTCGGGGCTCTTGGGGACCTCGAGAGGCTCAGGCGGGAGGCCGCCGCAAAAGCTGCAGAATCTGCGGCAGCTGCTGAGGCAGCAGCTGCTGCAGAGGCAGCTGCGGCTGCAGCTATGGCAGCCTCTGCTGCTGCCGCAGCAGCGACGGCGTCCCTGGCAGAGCAGATGCCTGTCCCAGCTCCTGCGCCTCAAGTGGAACTGTCTCAGGAGCCGGCAAGGCCTATGCTCCCAGTTCCAAGCTCATCGCAGGCACCGCCAGAGCCCAGAGAGGACTTGTCGCCAGGTCCAGCAGCTTCACCTGTGCGTGACCTGGAGACGAGCGTGCGCAAGCTGGAGGCATCACCAAAGACAGGAGCCTTGGCCGCACAGAGCACATTTTCTGATCTTTCAGGGCCCAACTCAGTGACCGATGATGAAGCTGACTTTGAGCCAAGGCCTCGGCACAGTGAACCTGGATGCCAGCATCAGGAACGCTGCGCTTAACTTGGGTGGAGGAGGTGCGCTGGACTCGCTCGGCCCTTACATGCTCTTCACACACACGCCCGGGTCCCAGCTTTCAAGCTCCAAGTTGCAACCAGGTTGCGGTCTGAGCTTATGGCAAGACTCGAGGGCGGTGGTCGAGACGCAGGCTCCAGAGTTTTTAGGTGCAGTCACAGTAAGCTTTGACCACGCCATCTGAGAGCAATGTGAACTGGTTTTTTCGTCCCAGCGCTGCCTTTCCAGGTGTCGAACCTGGGCATCCGCTTAGCAGCTCACTGCGGCAGGTTGCGGCAGAAGGCCTGTCGTTCAAGGACTCAGCTGTAAAAAACGGAAAGTCACCTGTGCAACGGATCCCAGACGAGGAGGACTGGGAATGCAAGTTTCATGAACGGCTCCATAAATGAAGCTTTCCAGTGGCCTGTTGCGCATGAGGGTTCAAACAGGAATTTCCCATGCGGAAGACCATCATCAATCAGCGGAAGATCATGGAGCAATTGCAGCAACAGTTCAAAGATGCCCTGGATAAGCCGGACGAGGATGAGATCAAGCCTTTGGAGTTGGACGGAGAGGCCGTGGGCATTTGTTAAAGGATTTAGGGGCCCAAATAAATACCAATAGTATTCCCCAATAATGGAAAATCAAATGGAAAAGAACATGGAAAATGAAGTGGAAACTGGGTTTATATAGGGTTGGAAGGAAAATTGCTTTTGGCGGCTCCGCGTGTCTTTGCACATCACCTTTCTTCGCACTATTCCTGCACGTCTGATTGTTACTAATCTTACCACTATTATGAATTGTTATCATTACTATTGTTGCTACTTGTCTTATCAAGACAATTATGAGTATGACGGCTACTATTACTTGGTACTTGGTACTAGTAATTATTACTACCTCTGTTGTTACGATGATCATCATCATTATTATCATCATTTTCATTATTGATGTGACCCGGTGTAGGCCAGCCGGGAGCAGATGCAGCAGCTTCAGGACAGATGCCATTCCTGAGAGTATAGCCCAGTGTAACTATGTATAATATAGTAGAATATAGTATAATATAGAAAACATTTGTATAATCTGGTAGATTATAGTTGATAGTAGTATGTCATAGTATATGCATCCCAGGCAAACTTCAGCTGGTGTCACCTGTGCATGCAATTACCTAGACTTCTAGCCTGAAGACTCCAAGCCAGCAGAACTGAGATGAGCTGACCACCAGCTGTAGATTTGTGACACAGTTTAATGTAGTATAATAGAGTAGAATATGGTATAATATAGTATAACACAGTTTCATATAGTGTAGTAGAGTATAAGTTTAATGTAGTATAATAGAGTAGACTATGGTATAATATAGTATAACACAGTTTCATATAGTGTAGTAGAGTATAATATAGTACAATACATTGTTGCATAATCTGCATACCAACTGAAGGCATTGGGCCAGTGATTGACCTGAGTCCCTCTGCATCAATTTCCATATATTCGTTGACAGACATGTTATGTCACATCGCAGGAGCCATGTTGCCCAGGCCCGCTCATCCAAGCGTAACTTAAACAAAATCAAACCCTAAATAGTAGTTTCCATTTTATTTTCCATGGTTCCTATATAACCCCAAAATACCCCCCACTTTGATTCAGACTACTACGGCGCCTCACTCTGGCTTGAACTTTAGCTTGGCTGTTTTCGAGACCTGTCACAGAAGCCCCAGGACGAGATCAAGAAGCTCCGAAGGGACATCGGGACGCTTAAAGCGAGCCTCAGCAGCTGTCAACAGGATGGTCAAGCTCGGGCATTAGAAGCAACCGAGTACCTGGAGCAGGCGGGTAAGAGAATTTGCGTTGCTGCATGTGCCCACATTAGTGGAGCTGCGGTGATCACCTCAAGGTCAGCTCACTGAAAGCCCAGTTGGAAGACATCCGCTTCGCACATAGAGACGAGCTGAATGTGGAGCGCAAGCAGACTCAGGATTGGGACGACACACTCGCTGCTTTATGCCGCTTTGAGAGGTCGAAGCTGCGGTCACATCTGATCTGTCAGGATCTGAGGGGCGAGGTCGACAGGCTGAACAAGCGATTGCAGGACAAAGAAGGTGCCATGCCGGTACTTGGAGCCGCCCCCAAGAGATTTGGGGGTTGTTCTGTTAAAGGTGGGTTATGTAGGGGATGCGGTTATGGGGGATACTAGGAGTTTAGACTAGAGCTCATATGAGAGGTGAGGCTGTTCACTGGCGGTCAGAAGCGGAGCAAGCTGCCATCAGTTGCCATGCCGAGAAGGAGAAGTCCAACACACGTTGGGCCGTGTTTCGCATCAAGTCTGCAGAGACCTGATGTGACATATTTTCATATACCATAATAAGCTGCTATTATATATTATATAGCAATAATATAGTACGTATATTATAAGTATAATACGTATGTTATAGTAGTATATCATAGTTGAATGGACCTGATGCTTCCCTGTAACTGCCGCAGGAGCGGCTGGAAGAGCTGGAGAGAAGCCACAAGAGCTTGGAGCAGCAAAGATCCATGCTGAACAAGGCACGTGAGGACACAGACTTCGTCCTCCAGGACTTTGCGCTGTGCTACTGTGAGCAAGCCCTGCAGTGTGAGTGCTCTGCGATTGCAGCAACGACTTCTGGAGGAAAGCCATTCAAGCTGGAGGGAAGAGAGGGAAAGGCTCTCCACCATGTTACCAATCCTAGATAGTAGTTTCCCTTCTGTTTTCCATTATCCCTGGCCTACATAACCCCAATATCACCCTAATATAACCCCAATAGAACCCTATATAGCCCCAATATTGTAATAGTTTCCATTTTCTTTTCCACTATCCCCATATCCCCCCAAAAAAATGCTAATGGCTTGTCGCCAGGTTACTCAAAGAGCTGCAGGGCAAAGACCGGGAGCTGCACAGCCTGAAGCAGGCATCGTAGTTTGTAGCGGTCGCATCAAATGGGGTTTCCCAAAAACTAGGGGTACCCTTTTGGGGGTCCCCATAAATAAGGATTATACTATTTTGGGGTCTATATTGGAGTCCCCTTATTTCGGGAAACTACCAAATCATGCTATAGTCTAAGCTCCTTAAGGGGGATTATATAGGGGATTATCTAGGGGAGTATTACAGGGTTATTAGGGGGGATACTAAGAGTTTAGACTGTAGCTCAAATGATGCGTTAAAGGTTTCAAGCTGAGGCCTTCAGCAAAATCAGCACCAGCCATGCGCCACTTGAAGAGGTCCAGAAGCCGAGCCCTTGGGGACGTCCATACACAGATATATATATATATGTGTGTGTATTTATATATATCTATATATATATATATATGTACACATATACATACATGTATACATTTATGTATATATGTATATGTATCTATTCGGAGCTTCATGGCATGCGAGGAATAGAGTGGCTGGCATGATGAGGTGGAAAGCAAAGGCAGAGAATCTGCAGAAGCAGGTGGACCAGGCCACATGAAGGGCAGCAGTACTGCAGGCATACCTTGGGTACTTCTTCCGCCCAGCAACAGTTGCATAAGAACTAATATGAAGAAATATGAAGATATATTGCTTTTTATATGTCATTTGCTATGGACTGTTCTGGGGTGGGGGCAGTACCCAAGGCATACCATAGATACTTGTGCCAGATACCAAGAATCATGCAAGTCAAAGTGATGGCAAAGGCGCAGCGCACTTCAAGGGAGATGCGGTCAGCAAAGGGCTCAGTGAAGACTCTTGTTTGCCTGGGTCACGAAGTGTGGATGTGATTGCTGGTCATGCCCTATGTTCCGTCATTCCGTAAGCGCTGGAGCAGGCAGTTGGGCATATGCAGCATGCTGTCTGGCTCCTGGTGGTGTCTCTCCATACTTGCCATGGCTTCTTTCTGCTTCCCAAAAGGCCTCGAGTCAAGGTGGTGACCTACAAGCCTTGCAGCTCCGCCAATTGCCAAGGGCTGTTACTGCGGGTTTTCGCAGGTTACATTTTGTTGAAGCTGCAGCTGTAAGGTGTTCAGACCCTCTTGCCCAGGGCTTAGAACCACAGGTTATCTTCCAACAGATTGAAGTTTATTTGAAGGGTACCTGCCAACTCAGGCAGGAACAGGAGCGACAGACTCAAGAGCTCAAGAAGATGGATCTTGAAAAGCAAGACCTCAAGGTGGAACAGTGCGTCTTCTTGCAGGCTCTTCTTTTCGGAGCTGCGTTGGCAGGGCCAGATGGAGAGCATTCAAACTGCGTCGCAGTACTTCCAAGGGCAGTACAAGGCTATAGCCAAGCTCTGCTTGGATGGGGCACTTTGTTCTGTCTTCTGGACCAGGCTACGCATGCTGAACTGCAGAAACAGAAGGCCAAAACGGTCGAAGTGACCGAAGGTTCCGACGCGTAAGCCAAAGTTTGCTGAAGCGAGGCTAGTGATCAGCAAACCAGCCTCGGGACTGAATGCATTCAGGCCTGCAGGCCCGCATTCGTGAACTTCAGGCTGCACTGGCTGTCTCCCAAGGCAGCGTGCGGTCAAGACATGTAGGGTTGCATGGCTCCGTGTTGAAACTGCCGGTGACTGTCACTAGGGGACTCAGCTGGTAAACAGTACTTGGCAGCCCTTCAAGACTGTAATTGACTGACAGCTGCCAAGCCAGGCAGCTCAGCAACTTGGCAGCAGGTTTCGTTGTGGTGATGGCATTGATGCCACTTGATGGGTTGTTAGCTTCTTGAAGCTTGAGCCAGAGCCCTGGATTGATTTCTTCAGGCCGACGGGAACAAAAAGATGATCTCGGTCGAGGCCGGGGACGAAGTTATCAGTGTTGCTGCAAGGAGCTGGAGTACATGAATGCTTCAGGCCCCAAGCTCCAGACGGCCAGAGGTCCACTGTTATTGCTTTGCTGTGAACATGCAAGGATTCTTTCCTCTATAGTGGCTATGGCCCTGGGATGGAACGTCTGTCCATTTACTTCGTTCACTTCGGATCTTGATGTCTGCATGTTGAATGTGTTGTGGGGAGCTGCGAGTGTCAGTCAGGAGGCACGCCCAAGCTCCCAGGGCCGGTGGTGTTTGTATCTTTGCCTCAAGTGAAGCCTGAGAGGCATTGGAAATGTAAAGCCACAGGCCGACATGCTCCCTCTAACAAGCACCTGCAGTGGGCGCACCGACATTCACGCAGTGTTCTGTAGAGCATGCAAGCGAAACCATCTGCTCTAGCCCAAGAAAGGGTCCGTAAGTCCAGGCCTTTTCGAGTTGTTAAGGGGCCCTTGTCAATGCCAGAAGGTATCTCAACCGCTGTGCGCGCAGACTAATGCATTTGAGTGGCTCATCGACCTCTAATCTGAGTTGAGCTGACTGTAGAGCGATTTGCTGTTGTTGGCTCACTCTGCTGTACGGGGGGCTGCCCTTCTAAAAGTCTTAGCAGTCAACAAATATGTAGCACGGAGCACATCCTGCATAGATCACAGAGTCTTTCGACAAAGCCTGCAAGTCTACTAAACCTGCTAGCGTGCACGTAAGTGTGTGTCTGCTACTAGGTCCTTGACGTAAGGCGTCCCGGGTAGGCAAAAGGTGTCTCACGAGGGCGTCACACTGGGGATTCCCACATTCTACCATATCCTTAGCACATCATATCCTGTCGCGCGGCATGTCTCTCGAGCGCGTCCACACTGCGTTTCCTAGATTCCTCCATATTTTGAGTGTGGCATGGTAAGTCGTGTTGGTCTCTCCAGACAGTTTCGACATGCCAGTTCTGATGTTTCGGCATGTTTCATGTTTGGGCCTTATCAACATCCATGATACGTTCCGTTGAGCTGTAGTACACTTTCGTTTGTAGTTCAGAGAAGAGCTTCGTTTTGATGGTACATTGCCATCTTTGCCAATACTTTGTTTCAATTTGTCAGGCTGAGAGAATGCAGCCCGATATGGGTCGGGCTTCCTTGCTGGGCGCCTGGCTTCCCATCCCAGTTTTGGGGTATCATGCCGTTGTAAGCCAGTCTCTGGCATGAGGATAATATGCTTACCGATGAAAGTCACTGTGAAATTTAGCAAGATGTTTAGGACCAGAGGGTGTCGATCTGTGAACTGTTTAATGTTACTTCCCATTGAGTTTTTCATGTTGAGTGACATGCCTTGCAACTTCCTCCAAGTCATGAGCAGCAGGACCAAACTACGCAGAGGGTCGTTTGGGGGGATGCCATGGCTTCTTACTGCAAGTTCTACGGGGCTGATCAGGATTTTGATAAGTAGTTCTGCCCATCACCGATGAGGCTCTCGCAGCTCAACCTGAGCGGCCAATTTAGATCATAGCTCAAAGGCAGCGGGCATTGCCTTTGCATCTTAGTCTTTCGCGTGCCTTATCTGACGGGTGACAGCCTGTGAGAGCGGTCTAACAGCAGTTTGATGGTTATATTGAAGCTGATGCGCTGCTGCCACAGATGCTGCTGCTTCCGGTGCTCCTGCCGCTGATGCTGCAGATGATGTTGATGGCAAAATGATGACGATTTTTGTAAAGAGATTCTTGTGGCCAATGCGGTGGCGGCATGCTGCTGATGCTGCTGCTGTTGTTGTGGTGGCTGTGATGGTTTTGGGTGGTGCGGTGATTGTGCTGCAGTTGTGGATCCAGCAGCGCCGGCGGTGCTGATGCTAGTGCTGCTTGCAGCAGTGGTTGTGGTGGTAAGTAGAGAGGGGAGGAGTAGAAGTCTACTAGCAGAGTTGTCGTCGACTGCAAGCCTAGCGGTAGTGGTGGTTTGGGGATAAATAGTGGTCGTGATGGTCGTGGTGGTGGTAGTTCGTGTAGCAGTGGTGGTATTGGTATTGGTGTTGGTGGTGTTGGTGATGGTGGTCGTAGCCGCGCTCGTGCTGGCAATAGGACTTGCATTAGTAATAGTACTGCTGCTGCTGCTGCTGCTACTACTACTACTGCTGCTGCTGCTGCTGCTACTGCGACGAGTACTACTACTAGTTCCTGGTACTATAACTAGTATCCTTCCAGTGGCTTGTGAGAGCAGAGTAAATAGTGCCAACAAACAGCATGTTAGCATGAGAAAAATGCATAATTGGCTAATGACACTGTTTTATGTCAGTCTGCTCGAAGCCGACGTTCTCGGGTGCGACTGTTGCCGGAAATAATCGGTTATCATGACGACGGCTTCCGCACGGAAGTCTCCAGCTGTGATTAGCCGGCTCGGTTCCTCTTGAACCCCAGAAATTGAAATGCTTGCCTTACCGATTTTCTCACAATGGCTGATAGGCGCTTGGGTTCCTACTGCCTGAACGGTTTGTGGCAGTTACGGTAGTTTGGGCGAATGCCTACGTGTAGTTGCCGCGAGTGTAAAAGAGTGGTACTAGGAGTGATAGTTCTATTAGTTGTAGGGACTCTTACTGGAGCAATCAGATTAATTCGAAGAGAGCTGCTCACCAAAATGATGCAAGGCAATGCTCGCATTTTGCAGTTGCCATGCTGCCAATGTTAATGCGAGGCGCTTCGCTGCCACTTGCAAGGCTTACGCCCTGCAGCGCATTGATTTATCTTGTACATAGACGCAACACCCACCCACTGGCTGATCGGGTGCACCGATTGGCCTAGACGATCGAAACCTGATCGAAAGAACAACTTGGCTTTTCTGATGTGGCCTGATTTTGCTGTTAGTGCCTCTTCGGCAAAAATCTGTGATCTGATTGTTGGATGTATCATACAGCAGCCACCTGATGTTCACATGGAGTGTCCGAGCAATGACATGACCGCAGGCAACACATCGATCACGTAAATTCCGTCTGTCCCAGACCTGACATTAGCTCATACAGCAACTGAGTGCACAGGCCAATAGCTGGCAAGCATCGCCAGGCCATGCTTGCCAAAGCTGACATTTAGCAATCACCTGGGAAACAACAGGGGCTGAAGCCAGCTCCCAAGCTTTGTACCTGGGCTGCAGATGTATCTAGTAGCTTGGGAGGTTCATAAGGTTTGGAGGGGCCAAGCCCCCGCGCCCGACACGACAGGAAGCTGCATTGTGGGTTGAGAGGCATGAGCCCTGCAAACAGCATCCATGCCGTGTCGACAGTGACTACATTACATGTGCTAATTCGTCAAAAGTTAGGAATCCTAAGTTTGGAATCCTATGTAATACCACTTCTGTGATCCCCCACAGAGGCCCTGGTTTCGAGAGCCACCTACATCCGCTACACACGATTCCAGTACAGACCGCTACAACGCTTGATCTACCAGACCACAAACTCCCGAATCAACTCCCTTTGCACCACATTCAGATTTTTTTCCATTTGCCTAGATATTAAAATCCTTAAGCAAGAAGCCCCAACCTCCATATCATTTTGTATTTTCCTTTTCCATGTGGTGCTCCAGTATAAAGGCTCCCTTTAAATCCAAAGCCATGCAGTAGTTTTCCTTTCATTTTTGATTGGCTTTTCCGTTTGTTTCTCCATCATTGGGGAAATATCGCGAAACCGTAAACCCCAATCCTTGTAAACTCTAAATACTAAACCATCTGACAGCCCTCCATATAACCCCTGTGCGACAATTCGGAGGCCCGTACCATGGCAGAAATCAAGCGCAGTTTCAATGATGAGAAGCTCGGATGCCCTCAGTGAAAGAGAGGCGAGCTGCGCGAATCTTTGTTCTGGGGGGGCGCCTCAAACTAGGGGAAGTCCTTAAAGCTTAAGGACCCAGGAATGTATGTTTAAGGGTTTAGGGTTGAGGGTTTTGAGTGGCAGGTGTGGAGAACTCATTTGCTCGCTTCATCCTCCTGGATGCTCCAAGGATGGGATTTCTCAAGCGGGAAGATTCTACCTGCTATTCCATCCGACCGGGATTTGTGACTGGTATGACGCTCGGCTGCGCTTTCAGATAGGAAATCAGAAATGCCAGAAGGATGGGGTTCATGCCCGAATATATCCTATGCGTTGGCAGCAGCCAGACCCTCCTTGCAAATAGCAAGAAGAACGAAAGCTGGAAGTGCTCTTTGTAGTCACAGTTCAGACTAGCAAATTCGCAAAAGCAGGAATGTGCCCGGCAAGTTCTACGTCAATGATCAGCAGCTTGGCACGCATGCGCTTTGTAGCAAACCTGGGAGGTCATAACGGGATGCTTATATGATGGAGTGATGCGGGGTTGCGTTGGAGTAAGCTTCAAATTGCTTGCAGACATGGCTCGAAGTGCAGTTCCATGAAGGCTTGAACGACTGATGATTGACGAGCTGCGGAGCTTCAGCAGGCAAGTTTCAGAAACATGTCTGAACTTGAAGACTCTGCTCTTGCAACACGCGCATGCAATTCTGGATGGCGGACTAGATGTGGCTGACAATCTTTGTCGGGGTCTGAGTCACTTGCGCAGGCAGTCCCACAATGCGGGTGGATTTCTGCCCGCCGTGAAGCAGATTGGCAATGTGGCAGCTCTGCCAGGGACCTTAGTGACATACTACCACACATTCATCAGCTGAAGACCATGAAGTCGTGACAAGGCCTGGTATTGTCAAGTACTCAATTGGCCTACCGGCTACTTGGCTGGAACAGCGCTTGCTAAACAAGTTGGTGGGTATCTTTTATGGATACATATGAAAGAGCTATGTTCTGCTTCTCTCTCTGAAGGACATTCACAGCGGATACGGCTTCGCTATTGGAAACGTAGCTGCCTTCGACATGGGTGGAGCCCCTCAGTGAACTGCAAGTTGGCAGATTTAGACGACCTTCCCAACTTGTGTGTGGGAGCGGAGGTCTTCCAGACGCAGTTGTTTCTCCTGGCGGTGTGGGGTTTGACATCAATTGTCCATGCCTTAGCAATGACTGTTGACGTCACGCTTTCTGCGCGCACCTATGGCTCCCAAACTACGCGGCCAATGCTGCCTCCCTTTCAACTTGACTGACTTGAAAGGCTGTATGACCCCGGTGCCTAGCAAGATCACACAAGGTTACCAAACACAGTTAAGTACTCAGCGAGGAGGAAGAGAAATGTTCTAGCATCATAAATCAGCACGCGTGGCCAAGAGTGAGCTAGAGAGGGAAGACAGCCAAGCAAGCCTGTCAAAAGTGAGCTCGATCGTAAGGTGGTGTCAGACTCGTGCGGACGAACCTCCTCTATTCAGATGTGCAACCTGTGAAGGTGCGCAGGGATCCGTTGCCTTTCATTCCCTACTTTCCGAAGCAAGCGACTGGCATTGCCAGCAATGTGAGAATTTGGATTTGCATGCATGAGATAGTCTAGCCATCTTCCGTCGGCCAGGAGACTCTGGCACAGTCGCTCTTTGATCACATCCCAGTTGGCCACACCCTTGGGCTGTGTTTTGCAAAATGGGGCGCGCTCGATAACCTGCCTGAAAAGGGACAAGCCAGATGCTTGCTTTGGCCATGCGCTCGCGTAAGTTGTCCTGTCCTGATCAGGAGTTGGCTCAATGGGCATCATTCCCACAAAAGAGCAGGACCTCGAGGAGGCCTAGCTCTTCGTTTTCCTCCCGCTATCCAGTCGAAGCATTGTCTTCATAGTGCTTGCTCTGGTAGCAGCTATTCTCTCTGAAACCGGCGAGGCAAGCTTGAAGAATCCTCTGTCCTGCCAAGTGCATGTCGTTGAGGCACTGCAGCTTGGCATTGACTTCTCGCTCAGAGAAGGCCGGCAACTACAATATCTAACGCATTATACAATATGGTAGCTTCCAGAAAAAGGGGACCCCAATATCCCCAAAAAGGTACCCCTAGTTTTGGGAAACCCTCATATAGACCTTTGCGGGTCTTCAGGCTATGCATGGCCGGAGGACAAGGAGCACTGCGAAGAGTCGTCGACCGAGAAAAGTCTGCTGGTATTGAAGGTAGCTTCGCCATTGGGTTGGCAGATGATCCTGTGATATCCTATGGCTACTTTGATTTTTGCCAATTCCGAGGGTCTATTATGGCAGCAGCTCGCTCACCCCAGAAGCAGCACCATGTGCTTTGGTAAGTCCTGGTGTGCTGGGTGCTTTGTACGTCACTCCAGATCCCCCAACTCAAGGTATGGACGCATGCTGAATGCCGACCCGGGCAAAGTCTCCAGCCGAGCAAAAAAGCCTGCTTCTGAGACATGCGCGTCTTTTTTGTGCTTCGCCATTTTTGCAAACGTCAAAATTAGTAGAGTAATAATGATAGCAGTAGGAACAATCATCGTAGTAGCAGTAGTAATAGTCACCTGCAAAGGCGTGGCCTGCCTCAGCTTGGCACACTCGGTGCAGGGAACCATTATGCCGAGATTCAGGTGCCGACCCTGCCTTCACTCGCAGCCCGTTTGTTGGATGAGTTTGCTTGAGAGTTGGGCTCTGGCCATCGTGTAGGTGGTGGATGAAATCTATGATGAGTTCGTGGCCAAAAAGATGGGCATTGACCAAAAGGGACAGGTTTGTGCGGGGGGCTCACGAGAGGGTGATGAACATGCGCTTCCAATCGGCTGCGTGCATCTTAGGTCATGATCCATTCTGGAAGCCGTGGGCTGGGACATCAGGCATTTTGCACAGTGCTTGTTCCAATGGGACGCTTGTTGCCGCCACAGAGTGACCTTCAGGTTGCAACTGATGCGCTAGTGGACATGGAGCGGGCGATGTGCGACACTCAGCAGTGCCTGTCGGCAGGATTTTGGGTGGCTATCGCTGGCACATGCGAGAGTCAAAGTGCGAACTTGCTGGTAGCGCCTGCAGCGCATTGAGCGAGGACGCGGGACAATATCCGCACCAATGACCGTCAGTTGGCGTGTGCACGAATCCACTCCGTGGCATCCTCAATTCTGCCTATGTGAGAAGACTGGATCCTAGAGACTTTCTGTCCAAGAAGTCTCTCGGTGCAAGGACGAGGGCCAGAACTACCTGAAGGTAGGTCTCGCTGTTGAATGGATGAAGCCAGCCTATGTCCTGCCAGGGCATGTCCGCCGCCGCCAACTATGCGTGGGTGAACCGCTCCTCCATGACTTTCTTGACGCGACAGGCTTTTGCCAAGGCCGCCGCATCCGCCCCAACAGCCACGCCCCATGTAATTATTCCGCATAAGCCCCTGCAGAATCCTCTAAACCTCTTGTAAACCTCTTGGACATGAGAGTTTTTAGCTGGCCGCAGGTCTTCAACCAGTCTCCTGAGGACTTGGACATGCATGTCATCTACGACCCTCGCCCCACACTGCTTGTTGGGTCCTGCTGGTTCTTGACATGTGATCAGCGGGCTGCAACACTGGGTGCGCTGTACAGCCTCCAAGGATGTTTCGCACAACATTGCAAAGGTTGAAGAACACTTTGTGTCTTGGGAGAAATAGGATCTGAAAATGCTCGCACCAGTGAATCTTTGAAGCATCGCTGCTTGCTGAGGTTGATGGCCAGTGCAAGCAACTCTTGGTCCACAGGAAAGGATCCACGCGGGCATTCCCGCCATGGCCCTTGCAAGCCTCTGCACTCCATGTCGAAAAATCCGCTGTGGCCTTCTACGCGTCTTTGTGTGTTCGAGCTTGCGATGGTAACCTTGCTGATGACTGTCTTGCACTTGACATTAACAGAGTACATTCATCCAAGCCATGGATTCTCACGAAGTGCGTTCAAGGAACCTGAGACATGTCCCAGGCCCCACCATCCGCTCATCCCGGTTGACTACCAGCTGACCGGCCAACCTGTCATTGTCGGAGGCAGAAATGAGACTTTTCAAAAGCCCGTCTACAATCATGAATTGGGATGCCCGTTATCCCCTTGTGCCATACTACCTCTGTAAGGTCCCTGAAAGGTCTCCTACATTAAGAAAAAAGTCGCATGAGACGATAAGAGACAAACGGTAGACCGGCATAGAGACCCTTTTATTCATGCAGAGGTATGCCAAAACTAAGGCTCCTCTTTGGGGTCTTCATCTGCCGTTGTAAGGAAGATCGTGAGGACCCTTGTTCTGGCAGATCGATTTGTAAGTTTCCCTACATGAGGGGACCCCAAGATAGACCCCCAAATATCATCATCCTTATTACTGGGGCCAAAAAATATCCCCACTTTTGGGAAACACCCTTACACTTTCAGGCACGATGGGCACCTGCTCCTATGTGCTGACAGGCACCGACAAAGGCCTGTCACTTGGGGTTATAGATGGGATATGGAGGGATATAGATATATGTGCCGTGCTCTCATGACTATGGGTGCTATCAAAATTCAGCTTTCCACAGGCATGAGAGAGACTTTTGGCAGCACTTGCCATGGAGCTGGGCGTGCCCTGAGTGAGTGCCCAAGTGCATTTGTTCTTTTGAGCTTGACTTAGATGACTTGAGATCTTCTCTTGCACCATCTTGCAACCCAAATATAGTGGGGATTGACAAGGAGATCTTAGTTTGCAATGCTAATTACAATGCCCGCCTGGGTTGTCAGGCTTGCAGCTTGTAGGAACAAGGTGTCGTAGAGCATCAGGTGCAGACGGGAGACATTACAAATGTAGAGCCCGATTATGTCGCTGGGTTGCTCTGCCAGGCAGAGCAGAAGCTTGAGCTGCGGACAGAAAATCTGCCCGCCCTTCTTTGAAGATGTTGCAACAAAACCTGTCATGGTCAACAAGGTCGAGGGTCTTAGATTTCTGTGCTGGGCCGATTGTGAGAAAAGCTGGGCGCGCACTGCAGTTTGGGAATTGGCGTAGAAGGCGGGTGGGAAGTGCGGTGGAAACTAAACTCTGTTCCGCCAGTTCCAGGGCTTGTCGGAGGCGGAGGCGAATATTGATAGTTTATAGTATATTAGGGGCTATATTGGGGTTAAATTGGAATGGACAATAAAATGGAAACTACTATTTACTGTAGGGTTTAGGGTTGTAGACCCATGATTCATAAACCCCTTCCTTTTAAGGGCCTTGATCTTTAGATCCCGATTCTAATTCCTATTATGGGGAGGGGGTTTATTTATCAGGGTCTGGGTTACCCGAAACGGAAGGAATTGTTTTGAAGATGAACATATAGAATCCCTATATAATCCCTATAACCCCTAGTGGTTTCCATTCTTTTCTCCATTATCCCTATATGAGCCTTATATAACTCCAACATATACCCTAAAATTCCTATATAACCCCATGTTAGTAGTTTCCATATGTTTCCATTTTCTCTCCCATTATCCCTATTACATACTTGTGATGCAAGCACTTGGAGGAGTGCACCGATGTCTGCAGCACCCATTGGGGTAATATTAGGGTTATATTGGGGTAATATAGAGATAATGGAAAATAAAATGGAAACTACTATTGAGGGTTTAAGGTATTCAAACCTCAGTGAGGTCGGAACAAGTCACGAAACAACCTTGACTATGGCGATGTCCTGAAGAGATTAGAGGAGCTCCTTATCAAGGTCAAAGAGTCAGTCCTTTTGTGTTAATTGCATGATGAATTGTCCAGGATATGGGCATCTCCATTCGAGTTGCCTCGCCGAAGCTCATTATGGAGGAAGCTCCCGAGAGCCCTTTGAATTGTCTTCATTGCGACCCAACACCTTCGGTGGTTAATTTGTGTTCAACTAAGGCTACAAGGATGTCACTCAGGTGGTGCAGACCTGTCCGCTCCCTTGCTGTCCACTCAGCAGTTGTTAGTACCAAACCTTGCGTTTCTGGAGGCCATGACGCTGGCATCTCCAAAAAAGCCATCAAGCTGAAGCCGGTCGCTGTTGTGAAGGGTTAATGCCGCTCCGAACCAGCTCTGCGGGTCCATTCGTGGTCGCCAGCTCTGGTTAATGTCATGTCGGCGCTTTAGACGGAGGCTTTCGCCTCTGCGACTGTAGGTCAGTTAAACCGGAGCATCCACTTAGCGTGTGTGAAATGAGAGCACAGAATTTCACTTCATACAAGTTGCCTGCAGGAAGCACGGTAGGCATTTTTGTGACGGTCCCTTTGGTCATCTGCCTGGTCATGGCTCTAGGCTTCCTAGCAAGCAGGTAGTACAGCATCACGAGCTGTATGGATTCGCAGAGTTTTAAAGCACACTTCAACTTCGCCGTGCACGATGGCGCCACTGACTTCTACTGTCAATACCCTGTGAGACAGCAGAGCCAACAACGGTCACTATCTTTTGCTGCAACGCCAAGCAACCACGAGTACTGACCCAGAGATTGGACCTGCGTTGACAATTTCGTGGCTTTTAAGACTTCCACCTGATTGTCAACATATGCCAGAGCCGTTGTGAGCAAAGCCTCTCCGCGTGGTGCTCAGATGTCGGCTCCCTTGGTTCTGCAAGGCTATCAAACTACCTACCCTACAACAATACTGCAATGCTGTTGCGGTTTCATATCCTGCTGATACCCTAGTCGAATGCTCCAGGGGTTTTCATTTCAGAAGAGACAGCTGCGTTTGTTGAGGCGGAGTGATGGCCACGGGAGAGGATCATGGAGACACAGAATGCAATATCTGCTTTGAGTCCCTAGAATCGAGGCCTAAGTGCGTGCTGCAGTATGCTTGTACGTGCTGTTGGCCAGTATCAGTTGACAAAAGTCTTGCAAACTGTCAGGGGAGGTGCTGCTGGAGCCTAAGAACATCTAAGAATGGTTGGGGAAGACTTGGCTGCATTTGCCATGCTTGGCTGGCGTGGGGTAGCTGAGGTTGCTCTTCCCTGCAATTGCAAGATCGCTTACTGTGCGAGATGTTTGGGCCCAAGGCTGTGCAAGGCTTGCTCATCAGATGTCATCTTTGCTGCAAGGTTGGGATCGATCGCTTGCTGCTAGCATGTCTTCCTGCGGACCCTGGGGCTTGAGCATAAGAAATTGCATAGATCCCCGAACCTTCTGCGCATCTGCGAACTGGAGCTGTGTGCCGTTGGAGGACTGGCTCTGTGCCCTTCCTGTCGCAGCTCCATGCAGGTGCATACTGCCCCGTTTGCACCAGACACCAGGTCTTTCAGAGTAAAGTTACTGGCGAGGTGGACTTCGACCCCAACAATTGTCAGTTGATATTCCGAAGATCTGCAGACAAAGGCTCGCCTTCAGCTCTAAGTAGTGGCAAAACATGTGGGTTCTGGATCATTGTAGAATTCCTTGAGTCCCCAGGCGCTTCCAGCACATCTGCAAGGATGAGGGTGGGCTACTCATAGAGCTGAGATGCACCTGCCAACGCTGACCAAATGTCTGCCTGTCAGGATTTGCGGACACACCTTTACGATCAGGCACCATGCTGACGCTGAGCTAAGGAGTTTGAGAGATTCTGACTGACTTGGCACCACTCATAGGCTGCCTGACGCAGGCCAAGCCAGTGCAGATAAAGCTGCTGCAGGCATATGGCGCCAAGGCAGGCCCGTGACCAGAAGTGAGTTTTGCTCTGGAGTGTGGGTGCCCAGCTTTTTTGGGAGCTCTGCCAGGTGGGCCAAGGTGGTGCAAAGACTTCCAAAGATATGGAGACTCAGGATTGTCTTGCCTGTGTGAATGGGTGCTGAGCAATTGAAGACGATGTCTTGATTAGCTGCGACCAATTCAAGGACCATGCCCCGCGCTGCGTATGTGGCAGCAAGCTCACTTGCACAAGCGTGCGTGACCGTGTTAGAAGTTTCGTGGAGGAGGACAGGTAGCCATAAGCCATAAGCCTTGGGCCCGACGAAATGGCATCAAATGGGGGTTTCCCAAAATTAGGGTTACTTTTTTGGGGATCCCTATAATAAGGATTCTACTATTTTGGGGTCTATATTGGGGTCCCCCTATTTAAGGAAACTACCAAATAGATGCAGCCTTTCAGGAGACGCCTGTCCCCGTGACTGAAAGTGTCGCTGGGCTCAGCAAGCAGCCTCACGTCAACTTGCTACAGAGTGTGGCGCTGGCACTGTGATTCTAGATATGGCTGTTCTATTTCTTCTTCTGATTGCCACGAATACGCCGTTACATACCATCTATGATTTCCTGACCAAGGATTTGGAGCACTTGATGCGAAGTCCCCCAATCATGTGCGACATCTGCAATCATCAGGCTTGCCATTGCCTCACCCTGTCAGATGTCTATATACCCTACGTACTATAGTGTAGTAGTTTCCATATTCTTTTCCATTTCCCCACTATAACCCCGATATACTATAGTAGTTTCCATGTTCTTTTCCATTACCCCAATGTAACCCCAATATACTATAGTAGTTCTCATGCAGGTGGCCGCCTCGGCTGATGTGTGGACTTGTGAGAACGGACGAAGAACGGTTCTGCACGCCGTTGCGTATGATGTTTGCCAGGCTGGACCTGCGTTACTCCGTGTTTCCTTGTGTGTCACTGGTTTGGGATCGCTGGCTTCTGTCCAGTCCTGCTTCAACTACTACGCATACGGCCACGAGAGGCTGGAGCTGTCCAAGCAAGCTGCACAAAAATAGATTTGAAGCTACTCACTGCAGTTGTTGCGCCCCTCAGAGTCTTCTGAGTAGTGAATAACCAACATGCGCAAGTTCTCAGACCAATCATAGTTTTGGTTGCAGCTTTGCGTGTACTCTTTGCATCAGCAGAGTCACTTCTTGATTAACACGCCGGATCTGCACCACCCTGGCTCCGTTTTTGGCGACAGCAATGCCACAGAACGCACGAAGCTTCAACTGCGAAATCCAGAATTTCTTAACGTTATACACAGTATTACACTATGGCAGCACTTCATGCGTTGCGCTGGCCAGGGAAAGTTGCAACGACGAGGATGAGGAGGAAGAGGAGGGCAGCGACTACATGGACTCTGACGATTCTGAATCCGAGTCAAGTGATGATGGAGAAGGCGAATCTTTCTCTGGCCCATTTTTTGACAGGCAATAGCTGCAGTCATCTCCTGTAAAATCCATGGACTGGGTAACGGGTGGCTGTCTAAGCAACCCCAGAAGCACATACCATGCGCAGTAACCTTCGCGCCTGCATCAGACCACCTACACTCTTTTGCATCCAATTGAAAGTGATCTGCTGGTCGGCGAGGCTGCGATGTCTCCGATGCGCCCACATCAAGTCCAAACGTTTGCTGATTACAGGGTATGTTCACAGGCAGAATTCGGAAACGCCTCTGCAGCAACTAAAGCCGTTTTGTAGCAGATTGTGTGACTGCAGAGTCCGCGGTGTGTGCCGGCGAGCCGTTCTGGTAGCCTGCATACCACGAATAGCAAACAGCGGCCACACAAGGTGGTCTGGCTACGTTTGGCATTGAATATTCTACTTGCCTGCAAGTGAATTGTAAGACAAGGTAGGAGTCTCACACCAGAGAACCCGTGTGACGCGTCTCTGTAGCCCTCCAGACGATCTCGCAAGCAATGCGTAGCTGCTGGGATGGGACGGCTTGATATCGGGAATCAGAGAAGACTGCTTAGACCTTGTGTTAGATTTAGGTTCAAGTTAGCATGGCGACCATGTACTGAGAGTGGAAGTTCCAATGAGCTTATCAAGAAGCTCCCGTTGGAGTACGTCCGAAGGACCTGCGAACTCAGGCAGGAGGCACATGGAGGCACCGTAATGCAATGCAGCTTAATTCTACAGTTTGCAGCAGCGTCCGAGCCATGCAGACCGACACGCTGCTATCCAAAAATATGTTTTCAGCCTAAGCGTCCTTCATCTCCAGATGTTTTGGAAGCTGAAGACAATGTCCATTGCATCAGTACCTCGAGTCACAGGGCAGCCAGCCACGCTGCACGTGTTATGTTGTGGGAAACCTAGGGGAGCTTCTTGGGTGGCTGTTGATGCGTAGCTAGCTCATGTGGGCATCATGGGCAGGTCTGTGGCAAATTTGCTGTTCAACGTCGCGTGGCAAGAGTAGAACAGAGTGTCTCCACGGCGAATTGCACACATACATCCTTCATGACTCTGCGTCAGCCATAGTACCCACATGAACAAGAACAGTAGCGGTACTGTAATGCAGTCAAGAAATTGCATTCTCGGTATCCTTCACGCTATCTCCTGAAGGGCATTGCCTGGCCTTCTAAGAAGCATGTTCGAGCTTTCAGCCATGTTGCATAATGTGGCGTGCATTGCTTCGTACATCGGGGCGGCGGCCACTGCACTGGTCTCGGCAGCTGCAATCGAGCACCAGCGCCAAGAATACCAGGACAAAGTCCGCGGTTTCATTGGCGAGTGCCGCGAAGAGCTGCTGCCGAGACATACGCGGTTCGTGCTGGCAGCGCGCGATGCATGCGACCTCACAGTCAACGCCATTCAGGTTTTAGTGCTGGCCAATGACGTTGAGAGGGCCGCAGTGGACATCCATCAGCACACGCGTCGCCGTGTCCTGACTCTGAGTGGTGCAGCAGAGAGATTGATGGACACAGCAATGACGCTGAGCATCACAAGCGCGCAGGTCTTAGTTGCATCCCCTAGCCGCTTGGCGGATTTGACCTTCGTGGCCAAGAAGAACCCTGAGCGCATTTTCAACTTGATTCAACGGGTGGTCGTGCTGGACCAGTGGACGACCCCGTCGCTTTTGGAGGCACCTTGTAACATGCAAGCATCCATGATTAGGACCAGAAGTTTTCACTTTACTGCGATGATGTCCCCGAAGTGGATGTGAGGCCTGTTCTAAAGGTGGGTGTCTTCTGGCTATACTGCTATACTTGGGTGAGCACTTCAGGTGGTTTAAAGGACTCGCGCAAGAAGACGCTAAAGGGCTACACGTTTTCGCGAAAGTCGTGTGACAGCACTGTCGCTCAGTAAAGTAAGATGAAGGAGAATCACCCCAGAAAGAGCCCCCTAAATTCCGGAAACTCCCCTGTTAATAGGTCTTGTCCGAAATCCCGTGTGGACGTTCTCATATAAGCGACCACGGACCACGGCTGGCTTCGAAGGCCTTCCGCAAAAGGTCGCGGCGATGGTGTTCGCAAAAGGAACTTCGGACCTCGCGAAAAAATTGTCGCAAGCTATACATCCTTACGTGCCGTCAAAGCACTTCCCTTCTTGCAGTCCAATCGCAGCGAGGCTCCTAACATGACCATAAAGCGTGCGCGAAGTCCTTTTTTGAGATCCGCTTGATGTTGCGGGTGTTCCCTGGCCCCTCGCAGAGAACTGGCATGCCAAAAGTCAAAGGGCTGAAAGTCTTTCTGTAGCATGCCCTGAGTCTCAAAATTCTTTCCCGACATCCGCGAAAGATCCGCGAAAGGTCGCGTAGTCCGAGCAAGCTCCCAGCCTTGCAAGCCATGCGTGGTCTTGGCGATTCCCTCGTTAATCCCGCCAGTTCTTAGGGTAATCCTCAGATCCTCTTCTGCCTGTACAGCGCAGCGTTTCCATCTTGCGAAGTTCATCAAGCAGTCCATGTAAGGCACCGGCCGCTTTCTAACTGCACTTGACCTTCCCAGTTTTCTTTTTGGCTGTTCTGATTCGGCGGGTCCATGGTTAATTTTTTGGATGTTTTTGGCAGGGGCGTGGCTCGGTCTGGTGTGGCTCTGGTCCCTTGGTCCTGTGGTCCTCTGGTGGTCGTGGTCCTCTGGTCCCCAAACCCCCCGCTGTTTTCAAATCATCCATACAACTGCAGCATCATGTCATCGCCATTTTTGCAGGAAAGGAAAGTTTCACGGATCATTTTGTTTGCAAATGTCGGGGCTGCGCCCCCCCCCGGTCACCCCGGCTCTTTTAAAGCCATCCATGCTTGCAATACAAAGATGTCATCACCATGTTCTCAGTGAGGGAAAATTGCGCAGATCATTTTGTTTGCAAATGAGGGGCTTGCGACCTCCGAATCCCCCTCTTGTTTTCAAGCCGCCCATTTATGCAATGGCAATGAAATATCAGGCCATCACAGGTTCGCAGATGTTTGCAATAAGGGAAGGTTTTGCGGCTTATTTCGTTCGCGCCTGATATTATCAGAATGTACTTTTAGACCAGGTTCCTACTCAGAGAATCTTCAATGATGTTGTGATTCCATTTCATTTCCATCTTTCCGTATCAACCAGCAAGTAAGCTGGAAACATCAAGCCCGCACCTAAGCCTTACTCGCAAAACAAAAAACCCTCCGCGAGATTCGGTTTTGGAGTTAAGAGTTTGGGTAAGTTCTAATTCAATTTCACCTTCTCAGTATGCTTTGTGGTCTTACAGGTTCGATTTTGGAGCAAAGGGTGTGCGGCATGAGTTCTCTTAAGTGTTCGAGGTTTGGTTTTGTTTCAATCATGCTCTCGCAAAAGCTGGCGATGGTGTTGGCGGAAAGAATTCCGGATTTCTGCGAAGAGGTCTTTCTGTCATGAAGCAATTTCGGATAACACCGTTATGAGGTATAAAAAGCGCAAATATACAATTAGATCTTCCAAATGTTGCTATCCAAAGTGATACCCTTGGCCCACATGTGAAAACAGGCTCAGCGAAGGTTTCGCGAGGGAAGACGCCAAAGGAATAATTACATTGCTTCGCGAACGTTGGCCAAAACCCAGAAAAGGAATCTTGAACAAACGCCATGTCCGTTGAGTAGGATGCGCTCGTCGCAGGTTGGAGACGGGGATCTACTCCAAGGTGCGTGGGCACGAAACAGATTGCGTAAAGGTTTCATGCCCTGATGCCACTGAAGATTTGCCGTTGTTGGCTACGTTTTCTCGACGCCATCATTGTGGACTTCTGACAGTAACCCCTATGATCCCTTGTAACCTCATATCATATCGCGGGGGTCCCTAAGGCCCCCCTCGGTTTGCGGAAACAGGCAGTGTGTTCTGTTCAGAAAAGAAGCCAACCTCAGAATAGGCCACCCGCGTGCAGCACAGCGAACGGCCGCGGTGCTGGAGGCTTTGCATGTAGATGCTTTGCAGCGCCCTCAATCTGTAAAAGGATTGTACGCGGCAGGCGCTTGTCCATGCCGCGCCGCATTGCCGAAGTTTGCTGGAGGCATTGGTGGCATCATGACAATCGTTAACTTGCGTGCAATTGTGCAACCTGTAACTTGCCTTTTCTCATTTTCCTACTCTGTACTTCTTGTTTTTTTGCCGGCTGCATAGCTTAAGACCTCAATGGTCTTGCGGTGACAGACGAAGAAGATTTAAAGCGGGGTTGCTTGCGAGCGGCGTTCTGCAAATTTGGAACATTTTTGAGGTCGGAGTTGAGTTTCATGGGTTGGAGAGCCAGGAACTACAGGGTTTGACAAAGTATCAGGAGTGGGGACACTGGGCGGCATCTTGAAACCCGTAACTTCTTTTCAACACTATTCCCGCGGTTTCCCACTTCAGCCCACGGTTTCCCACTTTTGCCGAATATCATAAATTCCCTTGATTTCTGGCCACGGCTTCCCAGTGTGCAAAGAGCTATTTATGTTTTCTGGTTCTTGAATTTATTTTGCACCGTTTCTCAATATACGCCACGAGTTCGTTTTTGTTCTGGCTTTCTTTGCTGTTGCCACGGTTACGAAGTTTCGCACCCATTCACAACATATAGCAGATGGTTTGCCGTTTATCAAGTTTTCAATGGTTGCCGTGTTTTATTCTCTATTAACTCTTGTTCACGATAGACGTACTACATGGTATCATTTCCTATTTTCATCATTTTTTGTAAATGTCTCGCCGGTGATAGCGTCATTTGATGTACATGCCTGGGGTTCACTTTAGTCAGAATTTTGGCGGAAGGCGTGTTGTTAGCCTAGGCCTAGGCCAGAAAGAAGTGCTGTTTGGACCTTTGTTTTGCTGATCGCGAACGTTTTTTGACTTTCCAAGCTTGCATATGCTACGAATGCGGAGGTCACGTAAAATGTGGCTTTGTACCTGGTATAAAGGACGGATCGGCCAGAATCAGATTTTCCCAAAATCTGTCGAAAAGGAGATTCAATCAGGCCAAGAGCAAGTTGGTTTCGTTTTTCATCTGGCTCATGGCAATTATCATACTTAGAAATTTCTTGACTTCGTCTCTACTGTTCGTGTCCGAGATGCGTACACCCTGTGCACAATATGGACGCCAATACATGCATGGGGGATGTTTCATGACAGAGGGAAAAGACTGCGCTGATGCTCTGAGGCGGTGTTGTAACAATTTGGGCTGTAGTCTAAACTCCTTAAAGGGGGTTATATAGAGGATTATATAGGGGACTACTATAGGGGTTATTAAAGGGGATACTAGGAGTTTAGACTATAGCTCATTTGGGTTGGAGTCCTTGGACACAGCGCCAACAGGTGTCAATGTCGAGTTGTGTGTGGAACAATGAAGCGTCATGTTTTCGTTGTGCAGTTCATAGGAAGGATGGACGGAAAAGGCACTTGCAGCCTGAAAGCACTTCAGTTTAATCGTTTTTTTTAATGGCCAGATGCTTCGGAAGAAGTCGTATCTCCTCAGATGTAGCATAGAGATGCACCACCATGTATCGCGGACACACAGCGCACGTTGCATGGTAAGCTGTAGGAACTCCATTTTAAATAACATGGGCGGCGGAACCTAACCCTCAACTGAAACTGACATGACTTGACTGCTTTGCGCAGGCATGGCGTCGCTGCTTCGGTGCATAGACTTCGATGCAGGAGTTGGAAGAAGAGAATCTTTTCGTACAAGCCTAGCTGCGGGGCCCGCTTTTGGTTTGGTTTTCTTGGCCACGATGGAGGCCATCAGTGAAGCTGCTTATTCTCAAGAATGGCTTTACAAAACTGGGATATATTCAAATGGATGCGGTTTTCCTCTTTCTGCAGCATCCATTCGCAGTCTTGGATTAAGCGCCGGCATGGACTGCAGTGGCTTCCAGTGCCGCGGTAGTCTCAGAGATTTGCGCCACGCCAAGCTTCTTCATGCAATCTACCAGGCAGATGCTGTCGCTGCATTCGTTGCTTCACGTGCTCTCGGCGTAGGATAAGGCAACGATATTTTGTGAGGACGGCCACGAAGAGCCTTCCAGCAGATTTTTCATAATGTGCCAGCCGGAATGCTTTCCATTTTTTACTTCTTACGACAGCTCCAGCTGTCACAACAAGGGACGACCACAGTCTGATGACATCTCGACAGCGTCCGTTGCAGCAGCTGGTGCTTCTTATGCTTGGGCCATCTTGAGCTGGAGCAGGTGTTCATGATTTTGCTGAAGCCAGTGCTGATGAGCTGCATCCGTGCCATAAGTATCTAGATCACACCAGCACGCTTGGAAGCCACGACTGGAATTAGCTGGGCTTGGAGCAGGACCGTGCTCCTGCAGCATGCAATGCAGTGGCCAAGAATACCCAAGAATCCTTCTTTTGCTCTTCTTGGAGCTGACCCTCTTGAACTTCTTACGGTTCGGACGGGGCAGGGAATGGGAATCCTTCGTGTTGCCTTTTTTCTTCTTGGGACTGGTCCCCGCCACCGCCAGCTGGATTGCTCTGGTTTTTTCTCATGAGCTGGCGCAGCAGGGATTTTCAATAACTTTTCAGCGACGACGAGCTACTTCGGTCTCTGGAGACTTGACCTCATCGCAAGAGAGGTCTGCCCGCTCCAGCTTCCACCGCTGATGGCCATTATGGCTTTGAGCTGCCTCCAAAGTCCTGTCAATGTCCCCGCTGTTGCACAAGCCACAGGGCGGAAAACCAACGTGAACCAGGAACTGTTGGCGCATGGCGCTGCAAATTTAGTTGCTGCTTGCAGAGGAACGCTGCTGAACTAGATGGTTTACTCATCGAGTCTGCTGTACTTCAAGTGCGGAGGTGGTGCCAGGGTGACTGGCTTTTGTGTGGCTTTGGTTGTATTAATGGTCATACCGTCATACCCCTGGCCAGTTTCCTAACATCCTATCTTCCGCGAGCTCTTTCTGGGGTGCTGCTGGGCCACCTTGGCATTGACTCCTGTGGGAAGCCCTTGTTGACACGTGGCCGACGCTTGGTATTTTGGACTATCTCATTGTCGTCTCAGTAAATGCGATTTTCAACGTCAGCTTCATTTACAGTTCGCTGATAGAACGGCACGCACCATTCGCAGTGCAAGCTGCGCGTTCTGATCCTGTACGCTTTGCCTTCTACCCACAGAGTGGTGTACGCTCTGGGAAGTTGAGAAGCCAAATGGAAGAATCTGACAACAGTGGTGGCTTCATGGTCCTAAGACTTCACTGTGTGCTTTTCGTCGGAAGCATGCGCTCTCTGCCCAAGAGTGTGCAGGACATCGACAGGTCTTGATCCTGGATTTTTGTTGCTGCGCATCAACTTGCTAACTAGGTACGGCTGCGGAAGTTACAGAAGAGAGAGAGAGAGAGATCATGAACATGGCTGGGGGTCGCAGTTGGGCCTGTGACTTTGTGGCTAATGCGACTGCTTTCTCAGTGAAAAATTGTCAGCGCGACAAGATAAACGACATCCAGAGTGTGCAGCCGCAAGACACGGAGATATGCTGCTGGATGATGGGTCTTCGGGCAGGTTTGACAAGCGAAGTGCCAGCGAGTCGTCAAGAAAGGAATCTGGATGTAGGGATCTATCAATCTGCCCCTGCCCCTTATGCCCGAGGTGCCCTACGTCCCCACCCCACATCCCACCCCCACATGCAACCGGGACATTCAACACGGGCGGGTTACAAGCAGAAGCGTGGTTAGCCATCCTCATCTTAAGCCCAAACCCTCAATCCTTGCACAAGAAGCCCTATACTAAGCCGCACGCTGAAGCCTGAAGCCCAACGCCAAGACGAATCGATATGAACCTGCAGCATGGCACTTGCAAGCCCAGCGATGTTAGCCTTTCGTCTAGCCTTGGTTCACCAGGATTGCGAGAGCAAACACCGGCTTTTCACAGAGGGGACAGATCAGCTGGCAACCATGGAGCCAAGAGCTAGCAGTGCTGCAACACGAGCTAGTACTATACTATAGCCACGCGAGGTCATGATATTTTCGGGACCGTGGAGACAAGTAAAACTACTAATGAGAGTTTTGCCTGTAGCGCACCCTCCCTCTCTATCAGCATGTTGACAACTTGCCAGGAGTTGCTGATATGTGGGCATTCCTCAGCAAAGCCTTTGCAGAACCCTCGGGGGATTTCGAGATTCCTGTGAACCCCAGAACCCCTTTTAAAGCCTAAACCGTCCCCTTGCTGAATTAGCGCGATGGGTTGGATGCCACCTGGTGTACTGTAGCTGAGATGGCTCGAGGAACACCAGCATGGCTGGACGTTGCTACGCCTGTAGCTGCTCGAGCCTGTTGCGCCATCCGTCTCTGGGCGGGAGGACATGGACATCGAGGCGCTGGCCAGCACAAGGTGGTGCCAGCTATAGCCCTGCACCGTCCAGTTCACGGAGCTTTGCTCTGGCAACTGCGCTTAGCCTGTGCAGTCAGCAGCGAGCATGTCAAAGAGTTAGGAGATTTGTCCGCCGCCGCAGCAGCGACGTGCTTCCTCAAAAGAAAAGGCCAAGCAGCAACAGCATGGACCCTACTCAGCAACTTGAGGTGGCCGTGAGAAAAGCCGAGCAGCTTGCGGGCACTTTACGTCAAGGAAGGCGACCGAAGGAGGTTGCGGCGGATCCTGAGGTGGCAGCGTGCGCAGTGGAAATCAGCCAAGGCATCTCGGTTTTGCACAAGCCTTTCAGTGCAACATCTGCTAGTGATCTCGTGACTGGTATCTCTGCTTTCGCGAAGATGAAGATACTACACACAGACATGCTGGACAGCTTGAGGGAGCTGCCACGCAAGACTTGGATGAGTTTGCCGATGCCCGTGCTGGCAGAGGCTGTGATATCATATGCCCAATATCAGCTGGAGGATCATGATTTTGATCAGCTTTTGTCTGATCTTCTGGTCTCTCGAGGGGTGCAAAGGCTAGGGGTGACGAAGCTGGCAAATTTGGCTTATGCTGCAGCGACTCTGAACCTTGGGGCCTTTGAAGGTGTCCATACTTTGTTTGCAGATGCCTTCGTTGAGGCAGACGTGAGCCGCCTCGGCACGTTCGACCTGTCGAGAGCTTTGTGGTCTCTTGCCAGGTTGGCACCCGCGGTGTGCACGTCATCGCCAGCGTCGGCGTCAAGACTGTCCGAGGCGCTGCTGAGGCAAAGGAAGCCTCCGTATGGATACAGCCTTGGGCAGGTATTCTGGGCGATGCCCAGACTGGCCCTGGACTCCGAGCCACTTTGGCAGAAGGTTCGAGCCACCGCAGGCAAGGAGGCTTATGCGGAGAAGCTGCGTCAAGCGAAGGATGCCACTAGCCAAGTGGAGCTTCTGCGTGGATTGGCTGGGACCTGCGAAGCTGCTGGCTTGCAAGCTGCGGTGCTTAATGCCGCTGTGCTACGTGCCATGGCCGCAAAAGACGAAGGCATTGCAGAGAAGGTCTTGCAGTTCATGGCAGACGGGAGCCTTTGGACACCGGTCACGTACCGGCTGGCCAGCCGACTGGGGAGCTCCGTGAAGGGATCTCCACCGGCCCCTGGTCTGACAGCACCTGGCCAGAGGGCACACAAGTACGTTCGGGCCTTGTACCATGCCCTGGCAAGGGCCAGACCCGGTGATACCACATCCGCCGCAGCTGCACTCGAAAGCTTCTCAAGAAGCAGCAAGCGAGCTTGGTTGAAGTTTGGTGCAGCAGATGAGAAAGGCGAAGTACTGGAAGAGGCCTGGAAGAGCCTTCGGAGTGAAGGTAAGCCACTGGTAGCCTTGGAATTTGGCACTTTCCTGGGCTACTCTGCCACCAAAATGGTTCGCCAACTGGGCACCGGATCTCGCGTTATTAGCTTTGAGATGGACCCGGAAGTAGCTTGCCTTGCCATGAATTTCATCGAGCTTGCCGGCCTCAGCGATCAGGTGGATGTGCGCATCGGCCAGTGCGAGGATCTCGTGGAGCAGCTGAAGGAAGAGTTACAACCTGGGGCTGTGGATGCTGTGTATATGGATCACAACCAGATCACATATCATAAAGACCTGTCCCAGCTGCAAGAGAGCGGCCTTCTTTCCAAGGAGGTGCTCTTTGCGGCAACGCAGGCATTGAAACCAGGTGCTCCACTGCTGCTGTGGCACCTTCAGGAGGCGCTGAAAGCTGGTGTGTTCTCCGAGGTTGAGATTGTCTCATCACCCGACTGCGGCTTCAAAGAAATGGAAGACTGGACAGTCCTTGCCAAAGCTGCAACAACTAGAACCCGAAGTCTCAAGCGTCGGCAAGCAGTGGCGACCTCTTTTCTGGCCATCCCTCGTGAGCTGGTCCTCCTTGCGGCCGAATGTAACCTCATGCGTTGGCGTACAGCGCAAGGCATGGTCGACGAAGCCCGATGGAATGAGTTTGTGCAATATGTTCGCCAAGGAATGGAGAAATTCGCAGGCATTACGAGCACACGCGACTATTGGCCAGAGCAGCGATGGAGAGATGCTGCTCGGAAACATGTATACAAGCGGCTCGACTTCTGATCACCATCACGTCACCGTGCAGCAGGTGTTGCTGGAATAAGCTGAACTTGAATCCGGCCGCGAACTTGTGAGGGCTCAGAGCGACGTGCTGCAGCGCTGGGATCGCCGCTACGAAGCCTTGCGTAATGTGCATCGGCATCGTCCTGCTGTTGACGCGATCGGTGCCTGTTGAAGGCGGAGAGCGTGACATCAGGCAAAAGCCTACGAATGTCACGGGAATGAGCTGGCTGAGGAAGCCAACGCTGCACGTCGTGCAAAATCTAGAGCGCAGATTCCGCAGCGTGCAACATTGTTTTTCCAATTTTGGCAGGCTCAACTCTGAAGCTTTCCCTCTCAGGATTCACAAGCCCGATTCCTCACGTGATCCTAAACCCGCTTTTTTGTTTGACCCCTCGCTGGGTCGAAGCCTGGCTCACAGTACTGGACCCGGCCAAGTGATCAGCCAAAGAAGAAGCAGGTGGGGGCTGCTGCGTTTGCTGTTTCAGTAGAATCTGCACAAATCTGAGGATGGTGCTTCTGGACATCAAGCGAACGGAGAAGAAGAATGAGTTCATGTATGAGACAACCGTCAAGGCCCGCGAGGGCAGAGAAGTGGCAAGCTTCGACACAGCCTTTCCCGTAATATTTACACGCCTCAACCATACCTTTCCGGGCCTGCTTTGCTGTTTGGTTAGCCCACCAGTTGTGCCTTTCGTGGCTAGCAGTGATATCTGCTTGTGTGAAGTTCCGTCTGAAGTCCTGGTTGATGCCTCTCTTTTTGGACAGACTGCGCGTGGTTGTAGAGACGCAGCCAAAGTTTTTGTTGATCTCAAAATCACCACTGGACCTCACGTGGGACCGTTGCATTCCAAAGGGCACCCTGTTTAGAGAAATCGGCATGTACCAGGCGAACATTGGGGACCTCTTGAAGGAACTCTGCGAGCTTCACAACTTGAGGTTGGAGCTTTGAGGTTTTCCTTTTTCGGGGCCTTATATAAGGAACTCCCACAAGTTGGGCATTCGATGGGGCTTCCCAATCTTGTGAAAGCCACCGTATGGGAAACATGGGAAACAATGGCGTAGGTGGAGGAAGCGGTCAGTAGTCCGCAGAAGCCGCACGTACCTAGCTATTCTTGCATTGCATGCTGCTACTGTGCAAATGTTGCCACAGGCTCAAAGTCCAGAGGCTCTCCATGGCCTGCAAGGCCCCGTGCCCATAGCAACTACGCCCTTGGAATGCATCACACAAAGGGATACTTGAAGAACGCTGAGTGCCAGTGTGTAAACAGGTAAGGTGGCCATGTTGCTGCAGTCTTGCTGACAGGAGCTGGCAAAGCATGGGCCCTTGAGACCTGAGGAAACTCGAGGAATTTCGGAGGCGCGTCCACCCTACTCTTCCTGTACTTGTAGCATAGCAACATCCGTAATGCTGGCAAGAGCACAGCCTGCTTGTTCGGCAGGGCATTGGGACCCTGTAGGGGTATGCATCTGTTGTAGACACATGGACCGCTCACAACACACATCGATTTGCAAGCAGGACCTCAGCAAAGTCACAGAGCTGGATGTAAACGCGTATGGTCAGCCTACCAGCTGGACCCTTACGTAGTCTGCGAGCAGGCTTTGCCTCAGGTGGTCCGGGTACTGCATTTGTATGCATGCGTGATTATGTGTGGGGGTGTCCTGCAGCTCTGAGCATGTTTCTGAGGACCAGACGAATCTGGCTTTCGAACTGGAGTCCCACCTCCCCCTGAGGCGACTCCCTCAGAACCAACAACAGCTATTCAACATTCCATAGCTGTTTTTGGGCGCTGGCCTTCACAAGCTCAAGTTGAGCATTGATGCTTTCACACACTCCCAGAGCAGTAGCCAACAACCTTGTAGAACGTGCTACTTCGCGTGGATCCGATGCGCCCTTACCTAAATTAGACACAAGTTTAGATGCGCTGGTTCCAGATTCGGCTCAGATATGCCAAACAGCATACATGCATCGGAAAATTGACAACTGGCTGGACAGCTTGCTATTGCATGATGCCTTGTGCTCCTGGCACCTCAATTTGCCTCCTGTGTTTTCGGATCAGATCTAAGAATGGGGAGCCGGACGATCACCCCCCTACGCATCATCCAATGCTTCAAGATCCCATCAATACTTCAGTTTTCCTGTAGGCAAAGGCCTCCAAAGTTCAACTCCTGAATGTTATACACCCCGGAGCACATCAAGATGGTACAGAATATCAGACAAAGATGTAAACAACGCATTCGAAGATTTTGCATTTGCAAGCTCAAGGTAGCCGACGTGCTCACTAGAACAGCGGAGGAAGCCGCGGCGGGATGCTCAGGTCATTCACAGGAGTAAGCGGACTCATTTTTCACTATATGGGGGTTTCCCAAAATTAGGGGTACCTTTTTGTCCCCAAAATATGGACTATAGTATTTTGGGGTCTTTATTGGGGTCCCCTTATTTTGGGAAACTACCATATTTCGAGTCAAATCCCAGATACGACGAATATTTGTTTTGCCCTTCAGCAGCTTTATGTTTCCAGGCCGCGGTGGCCGCCGAGCTTGTGCAGCAGAGAAAGTGTGTGGACAAGAAGGCACTTCTTGGAGTGTCGCTGATGCAGGATAGTGCTAATGGCAATGATGGGATGATGGCCTCGTAAAGTCATGACAAGTACTGTGGCGAGCTTGATGGTCAAGAGTATTCCAAACCAGCTAAAGTGAGAGAAGCAGCTCCCTCTTTTGAAGAGCGTGGTTGTGCAGTTCGCCAGGTGTGCCAAACGCACATTGACAACATGCGTGGTGCTGTTATGTTGCCCAGAAGCAATTTTCTTTTGCTGTTTGGCTTGACACGGATGACACCATTTCTCAAACATGTGTCTAAAGCGCTGATGAGGGAAGGCATGAGCACGGCATCCAGGATTGCGTATCCCGCTTTCCATCGGTTGCCAGTTTATGCCAGCAACTCGGGTGTCATGTGCATTAACCTCTGGGCGCTGCTTGCTGGGACAAAAGCCATTTGATAAAGTAGGCCTGAGGCCCAGAGGTCAAAGTGATTCAGGTGCATACGTCCGCCGAGGTGTCATGAACTGGCAATAGACATAGCTTTGGTATGTGCCGCCAGGGCCACCAGGGAGAGGGACCTGAGATTTGTGCTTCAAATTGCATAGCCTCTCCATGTGCCGCATGAAAGCATTTCTTCTGAGCAGCAGTTGAGCAGAAGGAAGCCTGCAAGACTACGTTTCATGGGCAGACAATTCTGTGGGGTCTGCCGTATAGGCTTAAGTCCTTTCGCATTTAAAGCCTAGCCTGCGTTGAAAAGCATGGCGCGTGACGAAGATGTGAGCCAGCTTGATCCTGCTCCTTTGTCTGTTCCATCGCAACCTGCTCCGACAGCAAGTGATCTTGCACAGCAGATGGCGGCAGAAGACTTCTCCAGCTGCTGTGCGACTCTCATGAAGGACATGAAGCTTACGCAGCAGAAGGACCTGCTGCCACTACTTCTTGGCGTTCTACAGCACATCGGTATTGCAGAGTTTGCTCAAAGCCAGACAGCGAAGAAGCGCAGCGGCGCGTTTAGCAAGTCCGTGAAAGTCGCTCTGGACGAGGCAGAGAAGGTGGAGGAGTCCGAAGCTTTCAGAAGACTTCGCCGCGCAGCATTCTCTTCAGATGCAAGGCGATTGTTCCAGCAGGAGCTTAGCAGCAAAGAGTACGATCTCCACCACATCGATGAGCAAGAGTTGAATATGCTGGAACCAACTCTGTTGAGATATGGATTCCCAGCTGGCCGGCCCGGAGTTGAGGATGCTCTGAAAGTTCTGTGTGAGCAGACCATAGAAACTGATAATGCAGCTCAGGACGAGCCCTGTGGCTTTTGATGTTGATATGCTAAGATGGTAACATCTCTGAAGGAGTTTGACCCTGTTTTGGTCCTTGCCAAAGTGTGGCTCTGTCTTGATTAGCACCTGACCTCCCTTTAGAGAAGAGACGCAAAGGCGGCGGGATGGTCACAACAGTCTTTTGCCTTCTATAGCTCAAGTTGCCTGTCAGCGATGTTCATGTCTGGCTGTACTTTGGTGAGAGCAGGGGCCAACTTGTGAGCCCAAGGATCCGGTGCGCCAAGAGCTGGAGGACAGGGAGGAGCTCGACGGAGCGTCGGAGTTGCAGTGTGTGTCGACTGGCTGAGCTTTCTTACAGATTTGGTAGTTTCCCAAAATAGGTGGACCCCAATATAGACCCCCAAATACTATAATCCTTAATATAGGGACCCTCAGAAGGTGCCCCTAATTTTGGGAAATTCCCATTTCCCTTGCGTCAATGGCTTTGAAGCCCCCCTGATGGCTTCTTTCAGGCTTGAGCCTGCCCACACCAACCTCTGGTGGGCTGGAAAGGAGCTTAGGTTGGAGCCTTGGTGCCCCTGTGCTTTGGATGACTTTGAGTTGGCCCCTAAGATACTGTAGAAGCTGCCATTTTCTTATCCACTATCCCTATATAATCCCAACATATACCCTAAAATCCTTATATAACCCCAATGTATGCCCTAAAGATCCTTTGTGACCCCTATTTAAGGATGGACCAGAGCTTGGAGCAATATGTGGGGAAAAATGCGTGGGGCTCAGCCAGGAACACGTGGCGCGTCCGGTACTTTTTCTGAGCTAGGGGAAGAAGGGAATATGATCCCTACAAAATCCCTATAGACTATATTCCCTTATTCCCTACCGAGAAACAGTAAGATCAAGGAGAAGACCAAGATAGTCGCGAAGCTTGCTCCCAAGAGCTCCGGAGCACCTGTGCGAGAACCTCGAATTGACGAGAACACGCACAAGGCATCAGGGTTGACAAAGCGGGAGAATGTTACTAATAGTAATAGTAGTAGCAGTAATAATAGGTCCCCGGCGGGGAAAAAAAAACCCCAAGAAACAGAAACACGATGATATCATACAATGGTATCATAA